CAACTGCCTGTTTCCCCAAGCTTTATGTTCTCCTCCAAGGATGAGACTCCTGAAGCAAATGCTCTCTGAGCACCTTCACCCCTCCCATTTGAGGCTTTTGGAGTTCCTTTGAGCACAGCTCTGCTCACATGTCTCTGATCACTCCATCTCAGACTACTACACAACTTCCTTCATATGCACGCCGAACGCCAGTCATGCCCAGGTTCTGTTCTTAGCACTGTATATACACTCTGCCTGGACAATCTTATTCTTCCCATGGTTTCAACTACCATCCATGTGTTGCTATCTTCTAAACATCTATCTCCTTCCAAAACCTTCTTCTGAGCTTCAGACCAACACGTGTAAATGCATGGTGGACCTCTCTACATGATGTCCCCCAGGCTTTGATTCTTGGGCGTCAATCCTGATTCCTTCATTATTGTGACAGCCTTTAAGATGGCCAACAGTACTCTTTGCCATCTAAAATTTATACCCTGTGTAGTCCCATCCTACATTGTACTAGGGTTGATCTTTTTGACTAATTAAAGGCATACAGAAGGGGATGGTAGGTGATTTCTGAGATTGCTTTAAAAGACTGTGGCTTTTGTTTTGGGCTTTGGTTTGCTCATGCTTGCTCTTACTCTCTTCTCTCGCTCACTCGGATCTTTCTAGGGGAAGCAAGGTGCCATAGTGTGGTGAAAAACTGAACCCTCTGACCAACAGCCACAAGGAACTGAGGCCTGCCCACAACTGTGTGAGTGAACCTGGAAGCAGACTGTCTAGCTCCTGTTGGACCTTGAGATGAGTGAAGCTTGACTGCAACCCTAAGCCAGAACCACCCAGTCATGCTGCTCCTGGATTCTTGACCCTCAGAAACTGTGTGAGTTAATAAATATTTGCAGTTTCAAGCTGCTAAGTTTTGGGGTGATTTTTTACACAGAATAAATAATAAACACAAGTATCTTCCATATCCGGGTTCTGTAGATTCTTCTTTTTAAGTATCTTTCATTTCATTCCCTCCTCTCCATCCCTGCTACCACTTCCTTAATTCAGAGCTTCATTGTTGGTTACCTATTGCAGCAGACCACCAAATGGTTTACTTGTTCCCAGTCTGTCTTCCCAGGTACTCATCACAGTGCTTCAAGAGTAACATTTTTTTTTGAAGAAAAAGATTAGCCCTGAGCTAACATCTGCTGCCAATCCTCCTCTTTTTGTTGAGGAAGACTGGCCCTGAGCTAACATCCGTGCCCATCTTCCTCTACTTTATATGTGGGATGCCTGCCACAGCATGGCTTGACAAGCAGTGCATAGGTCCGCACTTGGGATCCAAACTGGCGAACCCTGGGCTGCCAAAGCAGAACGTGTGAACTTAACTGCTGCGCCACTGGGCCGGCCCCAAGAGTAACATTTTTAATACAAAAAGTCGTCACATACCTCCCTACCCCATACACACATAAATACTTCAAATCTCTCAATAATGGTGACTCATTGGTTTCCCATTTCTTGTCTATACCTCTTTGACCTGACGTTCCTCTAAAATCACTTAGCAAAAGGCATTCTCTTCTTGTGTTAGTTACTGTTCCAAATAGTCACACATGGGTCATTCAAGAGCTCACAGATATTCTCCATTCCCTACCCTCTACTGTTAGATGGAAGCAGAGTCAAAAATTCGCAACCTAGGAAAAAATATGAGGGTGGTACTATAATCTGGACTGTAGTAATACTAAATGCAAATTTCCATTTCAGCTCTTGCCTTGGGTTTAGTATCATTTTCCACTGTATTTTGCCAGCTACCAGTTAAAAGGTTTAGCAGTGATATGTTTCTCTGTTGTATAAACACATACTGAATGCCGTGGATAGCTACCAAAACTAATAACTAATACTTCACTGTGCATATGATGTGCCAGACACTCTTCTATGAACTTTACATGTATTACTTTGTGTATTCACAAGAAGGTAGATATAATTTCCATGTTATAGACGAGGTAACTGAAGGACTGAGAAGTTGAATAACATATTGTAGGTCACACAGCTGGTAAATGGTGGAGCTGGGACTTGAACCCACATAGCCTGGATCTGAGGTCATCCTCATAACCACGAGGCAGCCCTGCCTCCCATACAACCATGTTATACTGTTTGCCATTTCCTACTTTACTGAACCCAACTCTCCACTACATCAGTAGCTCCTTGGGCTTGAATCTTGAACACTGGCTAAGAGGTGTTGTTAATAGTAGACAAATGGTTTTACGATTCCCGGTGTAAAATATGGTCTAGTGTTACGGAGTTAAGATTCATATCATGGCACTGCCACAGACCATGTGTGACCTTGATAAAGATATTTAACTTCTTCCTGCCACAGTTACTTGATTTTAAAAATGGGAAGATGCTATATTGTATCACTTCTAAAACACATTTTTACAAAAGATTTTGATATCTCTGGAATGAGATGGCATGTCAAACTTTATCTGTTTTTTTCTTTCTCAGAGGTATATAAAATAATGATGTCTTACAATCAATAGCATCTTACATTGGATGAAATATCATTACCTACATTATAAAGTAAGTATAAAGAATAAATAAGCATGTGAAGTTCAGTACCTGGCATACACCATATTTAAAACTATTTTTTTCTAAAAAAACATAACATCTGAAAATCACATTGTGTTCATTGCACCCATATATGGTTGAAAGGCTGAGGCCCCACCAAGAGTAAGGTTGCCGAGAGGTGTACAGATAAGGATCCAGGGTGAGCTGCAGTGATCAGTATGTCCTAGAGCACAAAAAGTGATGTGCCACCCTTTAGGGACAAAAGGCACCAACCCAGAACATCCCAGTAAGAATGCACATTTTACCCACTAGGCATAATTTTGTTAAAATAACAAGCCACAAAACACCAAGCTGATCAGAGGCAGAATCTGGATCATTCTTCCAAGATTTAGTTTTAAAGGTGTCACTACAGTAACCCATGGCTCAAAAGCCAGGGAGAGTTTGGTCTACCGTTAAGTTCAAACGATGCTGTAGACCCAGAGAAGGATGCTGCTGAGAACAACTGTGGGTGCCCACTAACCGAGCAAACAAAACAGAGTTGGAGAAAATAAGGACAGGGCCTGAAATGTACCCAGACACAGCAAATGCAATGCTTTAAAACAAGAGAAAAGTTAAATTATTTTTAAAAAGTGCAATAATGGTACTGATAATGGGCTATGACTTAAAGGACTGATGACTCTTAACGTGATGAATGTCACAGATGAAGCGTGTAACCTGGATTCCAGCAGAAATGAGTGTCCAGATTTTGAGGATGAAGAATAAAACATATCTGATACCTTTAAAATTATATTCTTCCTTGTTAATATAGTCATGGTATTCATTGAAATGCCAATTTCTATTAGAATTATTACTTTTTTATGGCTTGCTGTGCATATAGGTCAGTGAATATTTGCTTTTTTTGCTTTAACAAGCAAGCACGACAGTAGAAGTCAATCCCATGTATTATTTTTCTATATCCATTGTACCAATTTCTATTAAATCATTTGTTTATCTACAAGTTCTGTGGCTACTTGTACAGAAATTTATTCAAGTTCATTGGATTTTGCAACTTGCTTTTTTCCACTTTTACAGTTATATTTGCTTTCTCTGCCTTTATTCTATAGGAATTAGTTTAACTTTACAGTTTGGCTTGTTTCTTACTTACATAGTCATCGAAACATGATATTCACATTTGCTGTTACGATTCTCATGTTACAGTGTGAAGCTTTATTTCCCCATGCATTTGTATATTCGAGCATTTTGTTGCCTGCTTTATACCAGCTCTCACTCATACCAGTAATACCTTTCTATAAGGTTATGGGGTTTTACTTTTTTTCAATGTTAAATAGTTTCACATATTCAGAATTTGTAATTTTCTACTGGATACTAGTATAGAACGTACTGTATTTTTATGAACTACTTTAGAAAAACTTTCAATAAAGGTAAATGGGATATGCTCACCCATTAGGAGAAAATGACTGTCGGATTGGAACACGTAAGCACAATATAAATTTGCTGTATTTAAAAGAGGTATCTAAAGCGAAAGATTCTAGAAGCTTGAAAAAAAATAGGGGGGAGGGAGGATGCCCTAAATAATACCACTGAAAAATAACAAAAATGTTGAATACAATTTAAAAAATGCATTACTGTGCTGCCAAGAAAGTATGAAAATGCCTTAAAGGTAAAGAAACATGAAGTGAATGAATGAATTCCAAGAGGCAAGGGAACCCTGTTTAAGCACCTGCCCTGAAAGAGTGTGCTGACCCCTGATGAACTTGACCTTCCTTTTACTAAGAGCTGCATGGGGCTTAGGAGAAAGGAGACCAAGCCTGGAGGCTGTCCAGAGCAGAGGCTGAGACCACCGCACAGCCAGCCAGGATGCCTCACGCCTTCAGTGAACAGTGAACAACAACGGCAACAATGAAACAAAAAGAAAAACAAACACAGTATAACAACAAAAAACAAACCCCAAAGAAAAGTATATTAGGGAAACTTGTCTGTTACAAACTACATGCTGGGTAGAGGGAAAAAAAAGATTCACTTCCTGTGATACTCCCCAAAATCTCAAGTCAATTATTTTAAAGTGGTCACTAGTCAGCAGGGATAAATCACCTGGATGAATTAAAACCACGTCCTCTTGGGTAGAATGCATGTTTCATCCAGACTTCAAATAATTCCCACATATAAAGTTCCATTGAACACAATCTCAAATTTAAAAATCACAAGATGTGAGGATCTAAAGTACCAGGAGTGAGAACTAGCAGAAAAAAACAGACATCAGAATCGTGCCTGTAAAGGTTTAGATACTAGAATTATCTGGTACAGAATGTAAGTGTACTTATCCTTAAATAATATGTTTAATTCACTCCTGAAAACCCGACAGCTAAATAAAAAGCCACTAAAGTAAAAAATATTTTGCTTAATTTTAACCAGAAGAATCATGATCCCTATTATCCAAACCCAAGAAAACGAAAGATTTCAAATAGAAAAATACATCAATTTTTCCACAAAACTTTATAAACAACAATTTGTAACAATATAGTTTGTACATAAACTATAATATAATAAAGGCGTATTGTAAACTTTCTTTTCTTCCTTCTGCACTGTTTCCTTTACCAATTTTTCAATCTTTTGTGGGGCTTATAGTTATTTTACATTAAAAATAAAGTTATAGTCAGAAAAACACCTTTAGTTTAAAAACACTTTTAGTTTAATGCTCCTATGACTTATAAGGGCTTATAGGACCTGTCTCCTTCCAAACCTTTTAAACTGTTTCCTTCCTATTCTTTTCTTGGTGTCTGAACTCTAGTCCACCGACTTTTGTTCAGTTCTTCACACTTCAGACTCTTCTGTGGCTTGGAATTGTCAAATCTGTGGCTCCTACTTGGAATGCATCCTCTGCCACTCTTTACCTGCCTGGCTCCTTCCCAGCCTCCTAATCTCAGATTAAGTCTGATGGAATCAGAGCACCCTCCCTCACCACCTCATGGAAGTTGGTCTCTCTTCTCCTGCACCCCCATCCTCCGTCACTTTCCTCTGGCCATACTGAGTGATCCTGACGGAAGACCTACAGACAGGTGCAGTTCTATATAGACGAGCACAAGAGCAAAAGGTGAAGGATACTCAGTAAAATGATTCTGGAGGGCTGTTCAAATTGGGACATCAAAGCTGATTGAGGCTGTTTCCTTAGGAAAAGGACAACGCTAGTTGGATCAGTGTTCTGGGGAGTCCAGGTAGCGATTGCAACCTGAAGACAATCTAGGCTTGTGAATATTATTTGCAGCCCTCAGTACGAGATGCTTTAGATGTGCCTATTCGATGAAGTCCTGAGGCGGATCACTTTGTTTCACCCAAGTCCAAGGATTCCCAGGAACGGTCTACGTGGTAATTGTACCACCTCCTTCTACCTGCTGCAGGGTGACCTATAAATGGGGCAAACTGGACTTGGACTATAGAGCACTCTGAGATGCTGATGTGCTTGCCTGCTAGGGGGAGCCCACTTCTAGGACCTCAAAGATAACTCTATTAGGTTGCTGGCTAATGGGTGGGAGGAGGGCTGTTCCTCACACCAAAGGTTGGCATTTGCAAACACTTCTGTGCCTACATGGCCTCACCCAACATATGGCTCAAACCTGGGACCCTGGCATTTATAAAAGGAATCCCAGCTGCTGTATAGAAGATGTATCAGGGGTGAAGACTTGATGTCTAGTCTCCTCAGGTGATCCACCTGGCACAGAACTTGAACACTCCCTGTAACCGGTGTACTCGTGTAGGTAACAAGTCTTGCTGGATACGAGTTCTGTATGCATTTTATGGAACCCATTCCATTACATTTACTAACTGTGTGATAAAATTTAAGAAATTCCTGTAAGCTTTTTCTTTTGGTTGTCTAATTTAAACTGCAAAAGACGTCTCCTGTGTATCAAATGATTTCCTAAGAGTCACCAAAGGGGTTGACAAAGAAAAACATGATTTAGGTCAGTTATTTTGTCCACCAGGTAGCCATTTCTCAGCTCCAGAAACCCAAGTGCAAGGTGATGTCCCACCTCTACCTAGGGCTTAGCTCTGCTGTTTGCATAATTTTGGTTCCAAGTTTCCTTAGTTTCATTGAAGGAAATTGGGGGCTGAGTGAGCACGCGATAAGAGGGATGGTTAAATGAGTTAGATACATTGTTTGCTCTTCTTGATTTGATGGGCTTGTATGTCCCATTCCATTTCTCCTCATATGAAAAGCCTAGGTGAGCCCAGGGGTGTACATGGCCTTGGGTTACAGAGTCACTCTAGAAAGTCCCCCAGCCCAGCCTCGCCTCCTCTTAGACTTCAGATTCCTGAGAGCAGAGATGTTCTGTGCCCTTCAGGTGATCATAAAGAGGAAATTTCCCTCAAGTTGTAGCAAACGGCCTTTCTGAGGAACAATGCACATTACCCACCAACCCCACACACTCTGGTTATCTTCCTACAACTTTGAATAAACCCAAGAGAGATCCTAAGTAAAACCAGCCCTGAAACCACTTTGTCCTTCCAACCATCCCCAATGAAACGATTTCAGATTTCCATCTTGAAACAGAGGTTAAAAATCAGCTTTTAGTATTGTGTTGAATGAAATATTTCACATCATTACTTTAGTTTTAACATTAAAAACTAATTCAAAGATAATAGTAAGTTCATAATATTCCAAAATTTTACTTGTGATGAATTAGTAACCTACTGCTATATATAATCATTCATTTCTAAGGAATTGCATGTTAAAATAGATAGAGCTATCATTTTCAATCATGATATTACTCTGTGTTCAGAAGATTTCATTAACCATCTTAAAAGTCCTCTAAGCTTCGACTTCACAGAGCAAAAACAGAAAAACAGAGTTCTTTGCTTGGATGCCCAAGATTTATCTTCATTGAAATATTAATTTGGCTTTAATATCATTAAGTAAGGATATCACATCCAGAACCAAACATTGTAACAAAAACCTCACTTTTCTTCTTTCAAGAAGTTAACAGCTATAAAGAAATAAAAGTTTCAATGTGATAGAATATAAGCTCACATAACCCATTGTGGATCAATTTTTAATTCAGATACCTTACTCTTGAAAGAGAAAGAAATACGAGAAAACAGTATATGTCATTCCTGGGCGAAAAGAGGAGTGAGGACTCATGTGTGGAAGTTAAACAAACACAGATAAGGAGAACAGATTAGTGGTTACTGGAGGAAAGTGGGTGGGGAGAGGGCCAAGGGGGTAAAGGGACACATATGTATGGTGACAGATAAAAACTGGACTGTTGGTGGTGAACACGGTGCAATCTATACAGAAACTGAAATATAACAACATACACCTGAAATTTACACAATGTTGAAAGCCAACACGACCTCAATAAAATAACTAGAAAAAAAAATGAGGAGATACAAATGTAACTCTTCTTAACCGCTGACCAATTGAAGAGAGGGTTAGAAAAGATAACTGAGTCCACTGATAATTTATAATTCTCATTTTGAAAAAGTTCTCTTTTTAATTTTAAGAATTAAAGAGTAAACTGATATGAATTGCAAATACTTTTCCTCTGCCAATGAGCAGACTAATTAGAGAAGAAACAAAAACCAAATCTCAGGTAATTAACAGACTGGATAATCAAGTTTAACATCACCAGGGGTTAACTGTCAATATACTGTCTTAGTAGAAAGCACACACCAGGGTTTGTTAGAAAGGAGACTGAACAGCCAGAGATATATTACGGAGAAAGAAAAGAGTAAAGAAGGCGTGGACAGGGGCCAGTCTGGTGGCATAATGGTTAAGTTCGAGCATTCCACATTGGCGGCCTGGGGTTCATGGGTTCGGAACCCCAGAGTGGACCTCCACACCGTTCATCAAGCCATGCTGTGGCAGCATCCCATATACACAACAGCGGAAGATTGGCACAGATGTTAGCTCAGGGACAGTCTTTCTCAAGCAAGAAAAACAAAAAGGCCTTCGCCTCCAATAGTTCAGGGTGCTACGGGGGAGAGACTTTCTTCTCAGTGAGGAGAGGGGAAGTTCGTGGTGCCCAGAGCAGAGCTCTTTGTTTGAAACTTTGAGTTTTCTGTATAGCGACAAGCAGAGACTTGAATTCTTCTTTGGGGAAGACCTTTCCTTTGTTATGTGAAAACCACCCTAACCGGACCTTTGGTTATAAGAACTGAAGCAAGTTTTTACCTTACCCAGTGTTTTGGGGGGAAAATTGTGATGTTGCAATTAATCTGAAAGCAGATGTTCTTGAGTTAGACTGAGCAGCCAAGGTAGCTGGTGTGTTAACAGTTGTGTGTAGTTGAGGCATGTTGTAATTTGGCATTAAAGTTAGCGGGCGTGCCTAAAAGCAATAGCCCTAGATTCCAAGTGAATATTTATTAAAATGAAAGTATGTTACAGTGGTTTGAAATTAGAAAAGCTTAAAATGGGATTAAGAGTCAGAAATCAAGATAATGAGACCTCCTAAAGACAGCTGGAATTAACCAATTAAAATTTTCCTCTTGATTCCATCTCATCCATATAAGCAGAAATTTCTCCACAAATATTTTGTGAAATATTGAATGACTTACAGCTCATCACTCCTTTTTTTGCCTCTTCACAAAATAAAACTCTTTAATGATCATAGTAGGTACTTAAATACTTGTTGATGTGAGATTTCACTTGCTAGGAAAGAGTTTAGTTTAAGTTCTTCTAAAAAGTTCTTGAGAAACAAATGGATTATTCAAGGTGGATTATATCTCAACGTACACACTCTGATTTAATAGAGAGGCACTAACTACAGGCTTCCAAGTTTCCATCCTTTAAGTCGTTGAAAGAAAGGAAATCCAGGCTCCTCAGTTTAGCTTCAGCATTATCCGTAAACTCCCTCGAGGCCTTCTGCAGTGGAAGCCGGGGTGGGCCCATCGGAATCCCGGAGACCAGAGTCATGATGGCTTTGGTCTGTGACACTCCAAAACCTAGACAGGAAAAATAAATGAGGGAACGTGACTGGGACTGTCAGCTTCACCACAACATCCCAAAGAAGAGATCACATTCTTACAGTGACTACTGTGATAGGATAAGGGGGTACTAAAAGATGGGAACATTTCTAGTCAATATGGCAGACTGAGCAGATGTAGGAAATCCTTCTTCCTGATTCAAATACATAGAAACGTGGGAAAATTTTTAACAAGTTGACAAACTATAAAATGAAGACTCAAAGTCAACCTCGAAAGCAAGGAGGGACCAAAGGTATCAGGGATAAAGAGGTCAGGGTGGTGAGGAGTAACTGAAGCCAAATGGTCCGTGAGGATCATCTGATTTAGGGATATACTGTTGTTGATCAAATGATGTAGGACTTCATCGCCAGCACAGAATTTATTTCAAGCACATCTAAGAAGTCCCTGAGAAATGTACTATTTAAAGTAGTTTATGACTCAAAGCCACTGTTTTAGAGCTGGTGTTATAACACTGGAGCAGGAATGCAAAATGAAGCCTTGGGTCTGTGCACAGCAAGGAGCTGGAATTAAATTCCCTTTGTGAAGCTGGTAGCCAGCCTTTTAGGAAAAGCAATAGAAAAATATCCAGCCCATTGGCCTGAGGATAGAGAAGCAAAGAAGCTTGGGCTGTGGATGGAAAAAGATCATATGAAAGAAATGCCAATCCTGTGCTATACAGAAATATGGACCCATATTTGCATTGCACACTTTTATAGGAACCAGACTAAGAAATTACCCTAAAGACTGATTAGAACTGGTGAAACTATAGTGTCCTAGCAGAGGCAAATGTAAAAGCTCTTCATAGGACACCTCACAATCCACCTCACAATGGATTCCCCAGAAAACAACAGTTCTGAAGATGAGTTCAGAAATTACTAAGCATGTGAGGAAAAAGAAGCCACATGAGAGCCAGCAAATGCACAACTGACAAATTTCACATCCTGAGAACAGCTGATACAAAATTCCAAAAGAGACTTCATGGAGATAAAAGGAGTAGAAGCCATAGGCTAAAATATAAAAAGAACAGGAAAACTTGAAATAAAGCCAAAAAGAAATGAAACATATATAATTAGTGAAACTAAATAGGAGAAAACATAGCTAAAGATAGAATTAGTGATTTTGAAGGTAGACCTAAGGAAATAATCCAGAACACAGCACAGAGAGAAAGATATTTGTTTTCTTAACTGGCTATTGTTCTCAGATCCAAGTTAACTTAGTTACAGTAACAACTGACCATTGGGAAGAAAAATACTAGCATGATTAAATATATAGAATATAGTTTGATGAATGCAAAATGGCCCTCATAGGCTTATTACATATGGTGGAATAGGGAGCTACCTTTATAAGACTAAAAGTTTATTAAGATAAGTCTCTCTTTGACTAAACCACGAAAACTAGAACCCCAAAGGCAGTGTGAAATGAGTTCTTTGAAGATATGTTCTTCTAGATCATAAAAACTACCTTCAGGAGTCCCCTTTTAAAATGCAAATATTATGGCCAAAGAGACAATCCTTTCAGCTAACGTCTTAGAGCTATATTTTGCAAAACTGTTGCAATATTATGGCTGCTGTGCAAAGTGATCTTATATACACAGGTAAACTTTTAGTTCTTTTAAAAATTTAATAGTTTGATATCTACTTTAACGCATTTTAGGGACATATAAATATCATACCAAACCCAAAATTCTGTGAAAAGCATTGCTTACAACAAGGGAATAATAATAGGCAATTAATAGCACTGGTAGCACACAAATACCACAAAACTCATGAAGGTGGAAAAGCAAATGGGAAACATTGTCTTTGCAGGATTAAGGTAGCTAGCTGAGAACCCTGTGAGAATGAGGGGCATAACACATAACAGGTGCTTGGCGCTCAGGAGAAGTTGCCAGGATGAGGTAGAAAGGTTCTGTAAAGGAGGTGGGAGATCTGCCAAGAAGAAACCTAAAACTTTTCCTGGACTTGACCCAGGTTCTCAAGAAGGGCCAATCTCTTATAGAAATGGAGTGAATGATGGCATTTGTCATTTGCCATGGGATAAGACTTAGGAGACTCTGGAGAGATTTCTTTACTCAAATTCACAACATTTTCCTCAAATTTTACATTGTCATCCAAACCTCCATCCATTTAAGCTTACCTGTGAATAAACTCTCTTTAAATTGCAAATACTCTTGGGAGAGCTGTCAGTCATTCACAGTTTAGTAAGATCTATATTCAGATTCCCTTCTTCCAAGCACTTAGGCTGAAATCAGCCACAGTGGGGCAGTAGAATTTTAATGAGCAGAGGCAAGTAAAGGGAGGGGGTGCTGCTGGTATAGGAGAGAAGGAACAAAAAATGGTGTGTGTGCAGAGTGGGGAGGTGAACAAAGTGCTAAAATGGAGGAGAGAGATTTGTAGAAGGGGGCCAAAGTCCCTCCAACTAGGTGTACTTCACCAATTTATAGGGTTGGCCCTGAAGGTTAGTATTGGAAATAAAACTCTGCTCACAACAGAACACTAAAAGGCGTTCTTGTTGAACCTTCAGAGAAAGTGATGCAAGTCCCTCCTCACTTTCTCTCAAACCCTCAGTGAAAAGTCCATTTCCTTTACGCTCTCCAGTAGCAGACAAAGCAGGAAACTTACCTAGTTTGACCACAAAGTTGATGAATCTCTGAATACAAAACTGAAAAGGAACAAACAAATGTATAGTCAGTATTACCGAACTGTGATAACAACTTCAAGCACTTAGAGGTCAAATTGCAGAAACCCCAAACTAAAAAGTCCACACACCTTAGTTTTCTGAAGGTCTGTCAGAGTGGAGAAAGACAGCCACAGAGGATGGTTGAGATCCATCCAGGATATATTAGGATCTTTTCATACATACAAGTTTTATAAAATGGGCCCACGCAGAAAAGAAGGTCCAACAATAGAATTGTACAAGAGAGATAAGATGGGGGAAGGCATCCTTTACCCACCTGGCTTATGTAGGTAAACTGATCAGCTGGCACAGTTGTTTTCAAAGAGGAGCACACTAACCTCTGGGGCACTTTCCAAGATACCTAAGGGGCACTTGGCTGCGGCTAAGATTTATGGGAATTAATTTCTATAGCCTCAACTTCCATAAGTGCTATTTTCTAAAACTGATCAGAATAAGAATTCACATGTAATGGAGGAGCAGGTTGTCCTTTTATATTTCCCCTTTCACAGTCCTTCTCCCATTTTTGAAAAACATACCTCGTATATCACTGCCTAGGGACACCTCTGGGAACCAAATAAAGGAGCCAATCAAAATGTTGGTATTGGCACTGACAAAGAGTGACAGAGTGATTCCTCTAATTAATGGATAACAAGTCCTCTAAAAAATCGTAGAGTTTTCAATTTTTTGCTTTCAATGTTGTTACTCAGATTGTCAGCTGAAAATCATTAAATGATCAAGCATTCCGTGATTTTTGGCATATGACTAAAAAATCGTTCGAAGAATTGAGTGACACTTCTATAACAAAATTTCTTCTATTCTCATCTACTAACTTATAGGAATGGGGTTTCACAGCACTTATTTCTCTGCAAACAAAAAACAGAAATAGTACTGATGCTGAACTTTAACTCATCCTAGCATTAAGTAATATTCATCCATGAATTCATGAACTAATTCATTAAAAGAAGACTCCCATCCATCTCATTAAGAGATGCATTTTCAATAACATTTTACTTTTATGTTGTTTTAATCAATTGTATACTACTAATAAAAAATTCAATGCAGAATAAAATTTTAATACCCGGAGCCTTACAAACAAATATATATATATATATATATGTTCTTTTTTCCCCTCATACACAAGCTATAGCACATTACATTCACAAGTCCATACTTTGCTGCTTTTTGATACTTAATGTATCATGGAGATATTTCCAGATCTGTACATACAAAATATCTCATCCTTATAAAGGACCATATGTAATTCCATTGCATAACTCAAGCATAATGTATTTAACGATTTCCTTATGGATGGATATTTGGTTGTTTCCACCTTTTGTTATTATAAACAATGCTGTAAGGAATATCTTTGTACACGTGTCATTTCCTTTATGTAAGCATAACAGAGGGCATTTAAGTCCATGATAATGAATAAATTTAGCCCTAACTTTTTACTTGTCTGCTTCTTCACTTGACTGCAAACTCCTTTAGGACAGAGACCAGCTTTATTGAAATTCTGCACTCAGCTCAGCCCTTTGTATATGAATAAATGAGTAAATGAGACCCACTCCTACTTGCCTTCAGTAAGAAGAAACAGAGAATGTGGTAAACTAAATTCCTTACCAATACTGTTGAGTGGGATGATTTATTTGAGTGGGACTAAAGGAAAAGAAAAAAAGATGGAAACTGGATCAGCCAACAAAAGAAACCACTGAGTGAAAGGGTCCATATCACAGCTGTCTCAGTTTGCTCCATCCTATGATTTCCCTGTCATTCAGCTCAGAACGGGCTGGAATTTTCAGAAATAACTTTTTCTTGGAAACTAAGGGAAAAGATAATAACCGTGAATGCAAAGAGATGGCAGAGTCCGTACAATTCAGACCTCTTATCTTAATTTAAACCAAAGTCTTGCCAATGTTTAGTTTACTTGGCATAGCTTCCTAAGTCCTTACCCTGTTCCTGCTCTCAGCTTCACTGGGTCTGGGGCTGAACAAAGGGAAAATTAAATAAGGTATTTAAACTTTACGTAGAATGTAGATTCAGGTTGGCTCACTGTTCAGGACTAAAGGGTGGGGGATTATTCATCACTCCTGGCAACTGCTTCCTCATATGCTTCTGGGTTGGAGCTCAGGTCACTTCCTCTAACCTCCAGGATGCTTTGCACTTCTGCTCTGTAATCTCTGATTGCCCTGATGGTGGCCTGTCCAGTCCAAAAAGACCCCTTATCTGAGCTCTACTGGGACCGACCACCTGCCCTGATCTTGCTTATGCCTTTCATTCCCACTTATTTTCTTGGGATGCTCCTCTCAGTCACTTTTATTACTCTGAAAACCCCTGTGCCTTTGAGCCTCCAAAAGTCTTTTGCTTGTGCCTACCCTATTTCTTTCTACCTCATCCCATTTGTCTACAGTACACACCCTACTCAGCTGCTGCGACTGGTTCTACCTTTCAGTGAGGTTCTTCATTTTCTGCACAGAGAGGTTGTCCTCTATGTAACATTAACAGCAACCACCATTTCCTCTGGGGTCCTCCCTGTAACATATCAGCTCCTGCTGCTTTTCCTGTTTCAAAGTCAGTATCTTCTCCTGGATCAACCACAAGGCTCTTGTTTCCTGCCTGGTGGATGTTTTCAGTTCTCAGCACATTTCCAGGGTGAAGAGCACTGACCTGCTCTAACTTTGGATTGAGTCTCCCCATTTTAGGTTACCAGCTTCACATATACCCTGGTGACTCAGGTGTGACGTCCTCAAGGGGATAGCATGTGGTCATTTCCCCAGAAATCTATCACTATTATTTTACAGTCACAAAAATACTTTGAACATACAGTAAAAATAAGATCATTTCTAGGAGGAACAGAGAGGAGTCATTCCCGTATGGGGCCTGTACTGATTAGACATGTAGGGAACATGGATAACAAGGACAGGTTTGGTTTTAAACAAGAAAAAGTAAGGAACAGAAGGAAAGCAAAGAAAGAGGCAGCTAGGCGATTTTAATGAGGGCAGGCATGGTAGGAATGCTGATGAGAGAGAATAAGAATTATCCAGTGGGGAAGAAAAAGGCTGCGATTTATGTGAAGTGAAGAAAAAGTTAACCTGATGGTTCAGGGCTGAAGAGAAGTCCTTTCGTTCAAAAGCCTCCAACATCTGGTTTGTCTTTTTTCCCAGGTAATTATAGGTGCTAGAAAGAAAACAGCACATCCTGCAGGATCAATAACTCAGTGAGAAAGGTCCAGATCTTCAAACCCCTTTGCTGCTTAAGAGGGAAAAAAATATGCCAGGACTTCCAGAAGTCTGTTTAGGCCCTAATCTATCAGAGGATCAGGTGTCTTCAAGTTCTGAGGTTTCCAGCAAGACCACGCAGTGCCAGGGGGAGGCAGAGAACACCAAAGCAAATAAAGGAAGAAAAACAGAAAAAAGATAGTTAGGAAAAAGAAAAAAGAGTGAAAGATGGAGGTGTATTTGCTAGGGAGCTACTGAGGCCGGCACCTGCCCCAGGGCCCACACAGAGGTGCAGTGCTGGGTAAGAACTGTGGATAAAATGCAGTATCTGAGGAGAGTCCTAAAGCCTTATGCTGAGGAACTGGGTGAATGGAGCACCACAGTAAAAGGGGAAAATCCCAGCAGATGACCTAAATTCTTTGCCAACTTATTTATTACCTAGTTTCTAATAATATTAATAATGATAATAATAAAATGAAAGACCATTTGTTGAGTGTCTATTATATTCCAGGTGCTTGACATAAATTATGTCCAATCCTCTCAAAGTCCTGCCAGTTAGACCTGTTTTCTATTTCACTGTGAAGAAACTATGGCTCAAAAAAAGGCCACAGAATTGTCACAGAGGCTTTCCATCACTTCATGCTGCCTTTTATTACAAGTGAACAAAAATGAAGGTGAGAATGTTATTTGATCTCATAAAATGTTCTTGTGGACTTGAAAAAAAAAATCCCTAACCGTACCAATAAAGAAAATTATCTTAGACTAATCATGGAATTCTTAGGGAAACCAGCAGGCAGAAGGTTATAGAAATTCGTAACAAGGATGTTTCCTCAGTTTCTAATGACTTCTCATATAGTAAGTTAGTATCAGCAAAATGTATTTATCTTGATGTACCAAGAACAGAATGTTGTTGGTACCTCATATATGTAGACCCTGGAGTCAACAGCAAGGGATTCCAGGAACGTGAAGTCACATCATCTTCTGGTAATAAATTAAGGAAAAATAAAATCTATGAGCGGAGATAAGTCACTTGCAGATGTGAAATATTCCTAAGTCATGACATGTACATGAATGTCTGAAGAGTTTCAGATTACTAAAATTCTAATCCCAGTGGTCTTAGGTGTATCCTCAGTTAGACAGAGAGGAATGTGATGATAATCAAGAAGAAACAAAGTCTAACCAAATGCACTTTGCTTATAGATTATGTTGACAGAATTAAAACATCTAGTATGGAGGTCAAAAAACAAGAGTCAAAAAAGTAAGAATTTCCAGGGGAAAAAAATGTTCCATGTTCAGCAGATGCAGGCATTCTGGTTTCCTCGGTAGAAATGTCCCTGTAGTGGTGATGGATACTGCAGGCCACCCTGGTTGGTGAACAAGCCCTTAAAACCATCCAACTCAATTACTCTTCCTCAAAGCCTCACTCACCCAGACACATTATGAATATTACTTTGCTTCCCTTGTACTTTTCCTACTGGGAGGAAACGTACTTTCAGTTAATGCAAATATTTTGATCAATCTGCTTGCAGGTGCACTTCTAATGAATTAGATTAACACGTGCAGTGGACATGCTAATCGAATTGCCCACCTTCCTTAAGCCTTCTGCTGAGCAGTGATTCTACTTTCCTGGCTGCAGCTGACTGGATTTCCGGACTGCACCTGGACTAGGCAGTGCTATCTAGCAACGTCCTAAGATGCTACATTTGGGCATCATGATTGGCCATGTGCAAGTGGAATCAGAGAAAGCCCATCTGGAAAGAAAGACAGAGGGAAATAAAGAGATGTGCAGAGAGATGCAGAGGTGAGAGTCCAAAGGGCCAAAGGTGTAGAAGGATCTGCCTTGGCTGTTGAGGGCTCTGCAGTTCCAGGTTCTCATCCTCTCTGAGGCCTGGCTGTACTTCTGCCTCTTGGGTTTTATGTAATCTCCCAGTATTTTATAATAACTTACCTTCTTTCATGTAAGTTAGTTTGAATGGGTTTCTGTTATTTGTAACCAAATGATTTCTGACAAAGAAATTCGGTGCATGCTCTCAGCTTGAGTGCCACACCGCTAAGGCAACAGATGATTCTAATAACAACTGAGTTGCTAACTGCTAAGCTCTACTTAATTTCCTTTCACTGAAAGAATGTGGGAAAGAAAAGCAGCTTCTATTAGAAAAGGTGTACATGCAAGAAATACAACTACTTAGATGATGAATGTCTCTGTGGGGGGACTGTACATTTATAACCGTTGGGAAAAATGAGTCATACTTACCTGCCCACTGCTCCAGTAGCTCCCATCACCAGAGCACTCAACAGTTGCTAATCAGAAACAAAGAGTATTCACTTTTATGAAAAAGAGAAAAAGATGCTACTACATAAGAAGCTACATAAATTGTTTTGGAGGGAAACTAACCTACTGGGATATGCCAGGGGGGTGACTTACCTCATCCACCCCAAAAAGGAAAGCAAACTGTCGTTGGCGATTTTGATCAACACACTGCCCGAAGTCTAAGAGATCTGTGTCACTGAATTTCAGCCCTTGGAAGGTGGGGATCTTCTCCTGAATCCCATCTAACACCTCCTCGGCACGAACTGCTCAAAACAATAAACGACTCATTAATCTGCACACCTCCGGAAAATATCAAATAACATCTCAAAGAGACCTACACATCTGCATTGAGCTACCAGGGGCTGTTCTCAGCTGGAACTGACTGCAGATTGGACATAATCACTTGCCCTTGCTGAGTAGTTCCTATGTACTTGTCAAATTATAGCCCCAGGGGCCGGCCCTGTAGCCGAGTGGTTAAGTTCGCGCTCACTTCAGCTGCCCAGGGTTTCACGGGTTCGGATCCTGGGCGCAGACATGGAACCACTCATCAGGCCATGCCGAGGCAGCGTTCCACATAGCACAACCAGTGGCACTCACAACTAGAATCTACAACTATGTACTGGGGGGCTTTGGGGAGAATTAAAACAAAAAAAAAGATTGGCAACAGTTGTTAGCTCAGGTGTCAATCTTTTTTTTTTTTTTTTGAGGAAGATTAGCCCTGAGCTAACTGCTGCCAATCCTCCTTTTTTTGCTGAGGAAGACTGGCCCTGAGCTAACATCTCTGCCCATCTTCCTCTACTTTATATGTGGGATGCCTACCACAGCATGGCTTGCCAAGCAGTGCCATGTCTGCACCTGGGACCTGAACCAGCAAATGCCCAGGCTGCCACAGGGGAACATGCGCACTTAACTGCCATGCCACTGGGCTGGCCCCTCAGGTGCCAATCTTTAAAAAAAACAAAAATTATAGCTCTAAGGCTTCCCTTCCTTGAAGACAGTAGATGAATGTTTACACATTTATAAAGCACAGCTTCTATTTTTCTTTTAAGGAACTTAGAAAGGAATGGGATTTAAAAAATAATCTAAGAAATTTCATCTAATTGCAACAATCTTCTTGCTGGAGAAGTATAATAATACTAGTAAAAGAAAAGCTAGAAGAAAAGTGAGAAGGGATCAGAGTATGTTCCTAAGTGCCAGGCACTGAGCATACAGTAGAGTACAAGGTAGACACAGTCCCTGTCCTATGGGGTGTATAGGCTGTACCTCCCCATATAAGAAGGAGAGGTGTGTGATTGACACAAAGTGTGTGGACGTGCCTAGGGGTCAACTCATCTTTCATACTTAACCTTCATTATAAGATGGTGTCAGTGATTGATAAGGGCTGACTTATTTTTGATGAATGACTTATTCTGAAGCAACTGGAACACGTAGGCAATAGTGTCATGCTTTTGTGACGTGGGGTGGGGTGCGGTGGGATGGAGTCGGGGTTTCTTAGCGAAACAGAGTAAGACGTGAGACATGGAGGGAAAGAAGGAGTACTTACTTTTTACCCCTGTCAAGGCAGGGATGTGATAGTAATAAAATGGCAATGCAGGGGCAGCAGCAGCCACCTCCTTTAGGAAATTAATCAGGACATCTGAAAGAACAGCAGGAAAAGTCATAGTGTGAACAAGCGGAAAACACTGGCTTTCCCTGGTAAAAAAAAAAAAAAAAAAAAGAACCCTCCAGTGAAATGTAACCATCCTTTTTGGAAGCCAAAAGTTCTTGACCACTCTTACCATCCCCGAGATTGCTACTGCAATGTCTTTGCAACTGACTTCACTGAAAGTTTTATTTTCCTTTCTGTAGAGAAGCCAAAACAAGATGATCACTTTCCTGCCATAGTAAACTGTTATTAAAAAAACTGGTGTAGAGGATTCTGGGGAGACGGTGGCATAGCAGGACTCTGAACTCACCACCTCCCACGGACGCAACAAATCTCCAACTACCTGTGGAACAATTTCCTGTGAGAGAGATCCAGAAACTGGAAAAAAAGAACCCCCACAACAAGGGACAACACTGACAGGGGTGGAAGAGGCAGAAATACCCCTCTGCTGAGGGAAAAACCACATCCTAGGGTGGTGCTTCACGGCCAGGAGCAATCTTAAAGGCACAAAAGCTTTTCCCCAAGGAGTGGGGAGATCTGAGTGGGAGATCTATGCCACGATAGGCATCCCAGCCTTTGAATTCAGCACAACCAAGACAAGTTCCCATAATACTTGGCTTTTCTGGCTTTTCCAAGCAATGGGAATACCCCCAGAAAAACTATAAAACTTCAGAGAAAGAAAAGCATGCTCTTAAAGGGCCCACACATAGATTCACCTGTTCTAACACAAAAACACAAGAAAGAAAAGTACACAGTCCTTTGGTAAAAGAGACTCACTTGCTAAGCTCTGAGTGCATCTCACAGAGGCAGGAGCAGCTGGTCCCATCTCTCTAGGGACTGAGACACTGGCGACAGCCATTATTGTGACCCGGTACAGGCATGCTGACACAGACGCTGGCAGATGCTATTGGATTTCTCCCTCTGGCCTGTTAGCACAGGGGTTTGACCCTCCCATTAGAGCACGATTTAATTCAGCTCAGCCAGGGCTGGCAGCCTATGTGAAGGACAGGCCCTACCCACCAGCAAGCCTGTGGGCCCACATAAGTGGGGCGTGTGGGATCTCTGCAGCAGGGTGAATGGGTTCCCCTCAGCAGGGCATGCGTGAGGGGTTGGCCTGTGTTGGTGGGGTATGTAGGCCCACGGGCGGTGGGGCATATCAGCCACAGCAGACTTGTGCCACTGGCCATCTCAAATAGCCACACGGGGGATCTGCCGCACCTTCCAATGCCTGAAACAATTGTATGCTGCCATGCCTGGGGCTGGATCCACCCATCTGTGCTCCTGAGAGAGCTAACAATAGCTTTGCACTGCAGGGAGCCTCATGAGAGGCATACAGCAATTGTGAGCTCCTAAGTCTAGCACCAGCCACTCTGGGGGCCTGACTTACATAACAGCTAAACAGCAGCAGGTGTGTGCTATTAGACCTTGCAGCCAGCCACATGTAGGGGCTTGCCTCACCCACTAAGTGACTAAAGTGACTACAGCAGCTGCACACAGATGAGCCTTAAACCAGCCAGCCCAGGGGCCAGCCTAGCCTACATGTGTGCCCGCAGCAAGAGCAACCATGCCACAACAAAAGGGCATACACAGTCCAGACAGTGGAAATTCCTGGAACATTCAGAACAGGTGATGAGAGGGAAGCACACTGCTGGGCCCCATAAGGCATCTCTTACATAAGCCCACATCTCCAAGATTGGTAGATGTAGCTGACCTACCTAATACATAGATATAAGCACACAGAAAGAGGCAAAATGAGGAGGTAAAGAAACATGTTCCAAGTAAGGGAATAGGACAAAAGCCCAGATAAAGAACTAAAGAAACAGAAATAAACAATCTACCTAACAAAGAGCTCAAAACAAAAAGTCATAAGGATGCTCACTGATCTTGGGATAAGAATGGATGAACTCAGTGAGACCTTCAACAAAGAACTGGAAAATTAAAAAGGAACCAATCAGAAATGAAGAATACAATATTGGAAATGAAAAATTCACTAGAGGGACTCAACAGTGGAGGAGATGATACAGAAGAATGGATCAGCGAGCTGGATGAAAGACTAGAGGAACTCACCCAAACTGAACAGATAAAATAAAAAAGAATTATAAAGAACGAGAACAGTCTAAGGGACCTCTGTGACAACATCAAACATACCAACATTCATATTATAGGGGTCCAAGAAGAAGACAGAGACAAAGGGGCAGAGAATCTATTTGAAGAAATAATAGCTGAAAACTTTCCTAACCTAAGGAAGGAAACAGACATCCAGGTACAGGAACTGCAGAGAACACCAAACAAGATAAACCCAAAGAGGCCCACACCAAGACACATTATAATTAAAATGTCAAAAATTAAAAATAAAGAGAGAATCCTAAAAGCCCCAATAGAAAGGCAATAAGTTACATACAACAGAAACCCCAAAAGGCTATCAGCCGACTTCTCAGCAGACACCTTACAGGCTAGAAGGGAGTGGCATGATATATTTAAGGTGCTGAAAGGAAAAGACCTCTAGCCAAGAATACTCTACCTGGCAAGGTTATCATCCAGAATGGAAGTGGAGATAAAGAGTTTCCCAGACAAATAAAAATTAAAGAACTTTTATCACCAAGAAACCAGTCTCACAAGAAATGCTAAAGGGACTTATTTAAGTGGGAAAGAGAAGGCCACAAATAGGAATAAGGAAATTATCCAAAAAAAAAAAAAAGCACAATAAAATCACTGGTAAAGGCAAAAATACAGTAAAGGTAGCAGATCAACCACCTATGAAGATAATAAGAGGGTCAAAGGACAAATTACTGAAATTACCTATTTCCATGGTATGAGGGTAATGGATACACATTAAAAAAGAGGTTAGATATGATATCAAAAACACAAAATGTGGGAGGAGGGGAGTAAAAGAGTAGAGCTTTTAGCAGGAGGTCAACCTAAGGAGACCATCAACTTAATATAGATCGTTATATATGTAGATTATTATATATAAACTTCATGGTAATTGCAAACCAGAAACTTATAATTAATACACAAAAAATTAAGAGAAAGAAACCCAAATATAATACTAAAGAAAGCCATCAAACTGCAAGGGAAGAGAACAAGAGAAGAAGAAAGGAACAGAGAAGAACTGCTAAAACAGCCAGAGAAAAAGTGACAAAATGGCAATAAGCACATACTTATCAAAAGCTACTTTAAATATCGATGGACTAAATGCTCCAAGCAAATGGCAAAGGGTGGCTGATTAGACGAAAAAACAAGACCCACATATATGCTGCATACGAGACACACTTCAGACCTAAAGACATTCACAAACTGAAAGCAAAGGGCTGGAAAGATACTCCACGCAAATGGCGATGAAAAGAAAGCTGGGGTAGCAATACCTATATTAAACAAAATAGACTTTAAAGCAAAAACTGTAACAAGAGACAAAGAAACACATTACATAAGGATAAAGGGAAGAACTCAACAAGAGGATATAACACTTGTAAATATCTATGCACCCAACACAGGCTCACCTAAATATATAAAGCAATTATTAACAGACATAAAAGGAGAAATAGACAGTAACACAATAATAGTAGGGGACTTTAACACTCCACTTACATCAGTGGATAGATCATCCAAACAGAAGCTCAATAAGGGAACATTGGCCTTAAATGATGCATGAGACCAGATGGACTTAGCAGACATATACAGAACATCCCATCCAAAAACCTCAGAATACACATTTTTTTCAAATGCACATGGAACATTCTCCAGGACTGACTGAATATTTGGCTACAAAACAAGTCTCAATAAATTTAAGAAAACTGAAATAATACCAAGCATCTTTTCTGACCACAACTGTATGAAACTAGAAATCAACTACAGAAAGAAAATTGGAAAAGCCACAAATATGTGGAGATTAAACAAAAAGCTACTAAACAATGATTGGGTCAATGAAGAAATCAAAGGAGAAAGCAAAAAATACCTGGAGACAAATGAAAATGAAAATACGACATGCCAAAATCTGTGGGATATGGCAAAAGTGGTTGTAAGAGGGAAGTTTATAGCAATTCAGGCCTACTTCAGCAAACAAGAAAAATCTCAAATAAACAATCTAACAGTACACTTAAAGGAACTGGAAAAAGAACAAACAAAGACCAAAATCAGTAGAAGGAAGGACATAATAAAATCAGAGCAGAAATAAGCGAAATAGAGATTTAAAAAAAAATAGAAAAAATCAATGAAACCAAGAGCTGGTTCTTTGAAAAGATAAACAAAATTGACATACCTTTAGCTAGACTTAACAAGAAAATAAGAGAGGAGGGTCAAATAAATAAGATCAGAAATCAAAGAGGAGAAATTACAACAAACACCTCAGAAATACAAAAGACTATGAGACAATACTACAAAAAAGTATACACCAACAAATTGGATAATCTAGAAGAAATGGACAAATTCTTAGAATCATACAACCTTCCAAAACTGACTCAAGAAGAAACAGAAAATCTGAATAGACCAATCACCAGTAAGGAGATCAAAACAGTAATCAAAAACCTCCCAAAAAATAAAAGTCCAGGATCAGATGGCTTCCCTGGCAAATTTTACCAAACATTCAAAGAAGACTTAATACCTATCCTTCTCAAACTTCCAAAAAATTGAAGAGGAGGAGAAGCTTCCTAACTCATTCTGTGAAGCCAACATTACCCTGATACCAAAACCAGACAAAAAAAAAAGAAAATTATAGGCCAATATCATTGATGAACATTAATGCAAAAATCCTCAACAAAATACTAGCAAATCGAATACAACAATACAGGAAAAAGATCACACACCATGATCAAGTGGGATTTATTCCAGGGATGCAAGGATGGTTCAACATCCACAAATCAATCAACATGATACATCACATTAACAAAATGAAGAATAGAAATCACATGGCCATCTAAATAGATGCATCAAATAGATGCAGAGAAAGCATTTGACAAGATACAGCATCCATTTATGACAAAAACTCTGAATAAAATGGGTATAGAAGGAAAGTACCTCAACATAATAAAGGCCACATATGACAAACCCACAGCTAATATCATTCTCAATGGAGAAAAACTGAAAGCTATCTCTCTAAGAACAGGCATCAGACAAGGATGACCTCTTTCACCACGCTTCTTTAACATAGTGTTGGAAGTCTTAGCCAGAGCAATCAGGCAAGAAAAAGAAACAAAAGGGATCCAAACTGGAAAGGAAGAAGTGAAATTGTCACTATTTGCAGATGACATGATTTTATATATAGAAAACCCTAAAGAATCCACTAAAAAACATTTGGAAATAATAAATGAATACATTTATTCATTGTATATTGCAGGATACAAAATCAACATACAAAAATCAGTTGCTTTTCTATACACTAACAATGAAGTAGCAGAAAGAGAAATTAAGAATACAATCCCATTTACAATTGCAACAAAGGGAATAAAATACCTAGGAATAAACTTAACCAAAGAGGTGAAAGATCTGTACAGTGAAAACTATAAAACACTGTTGAAAGAAATTGAAGAAGACACAAAGAAATGGAAAGACATTCTGTGCTCTTGGATTAGAAGAATTAACATAGTTAAAATCTCCATACTTCCTAAAGCAATCTACAGATTCAATGCAATCCCTACCAAAGTTTCACGAACATTTTTCACAGAAATAGAACAAAGAATCTTAAAATTTATATGGAATGACAAAACGCCCCAAATAGCTAAAGGAATCCTGAGAAAAAAGAACAAAGCTGAAGGCATTACACCCACTGAATGCAAATCAAAACTACAATGAGATATCACCTCACACCCATCAGAATGGCTATAATTAAAAAGACAAGAAATAACAAGAGTTGGAGAGGATGTGGAGAAAAGGTGGGAATGTAAAGTGGTGCAGCTACTGTGGAAAACACTATGGAGATTCCTCAAAAAATTAAGAATAGAACTACCATATGATCCAGCTATCCCACTTCTGGGTATTTATCCAAAGAACATGAAAACACGAATGCGAAAAGCTATTTGCACCCCTATGTTCCTCACTGTATTCACAATAGCCAAGACTTGGAAACAACCTAAACGCCCATCAATGGATGAAGGGATAAAGAAGATGTGATATATATACACAATGGAATACTACTCAGCCATAACAAAGATGAAATCTTGTCATTTGTGACAACATGGAGGGACCTTGAGGGTATTATGCTGAGTGAAATAAGTTGGGTGGAGAAAGTAAAATACTGTATGATTTCACTCAGTGGAAGAGAAAAGCAACAACAAACAAACACATAGATACAGAGATTAGATTGGTGGTTACCAGAGCGAGGAGGGAAGGGAAAAGGGTGAAAGGGGTAATAGGGCACATGTGTATGGTGATGGATGTTAATTAGTCTTTGGGTGGAGAACATGATACAGTTTACACAGAAATTGAAATATAATGATGTACACCTGAAATGTATATGTTATAAGCAAATGTTGCCTCAATTAAAAAAAAAAGAAACTGGAAATAAAATAGACCCAAAGTTCTGATACATGGATTAAAAAACCCACAAAACTGGTGCAAACCTTCCCACGTATTAAGAGAGGTTCATGAAATACTCTTATAAAAAGCAGAAGACCATCAGCAGGACTCTTGCTCTTTTGCCCCAGAGGGCAGCTAAGTATGGTCAGTGAACAACAAGGACTTTGCATTAGAATCAAAATAATAAAGTTGTAACTGAGAAAATTCTACAATAAAAAGATAAAGAACAACCACTCAAAGAGGGAAGTTATAAGAGTAGTGGCACATTGCAAAATAATTCAACCATAGTTTGGTACTTTTCCCTTTTTGGGAGAAATCCAGATATATCAGAAGAGAGCTCACTCTTGTTTACTAAGGAATTGGGATTTCCTACATCATCCAATGTGAGGTTCAACTGCAACATCACTGCAGATGATAAATAAATCCAGCAGAATTGCTTACGCTTTGGATAGTAGGAGAGAGAATCTTACGTACTTCCTCTGAATACTGTGATGATGTATTTCGTCTACAATAAATATTTCTGACAAAATTATTATGTATAATATGCTATTTTTCCTTTGTCTATCTTTTGGGAAAGGTATTCATGTAAAATTTTTTTAAACCATGTGGAAAAAAACTTCAAAATTTTTCCATTCTAGATTCCTAAAATAGCAATATTTAAATTACTTATCTATATTAACAACTATTTTCTTCTATCAATAATAGGTGATATTTCACGGTAATTTTGACCCATCATACCTTTAGTTGTGGATTTACTTAATCCTGCCTACAAATAACATCTTGTCTGTTTTTAATCATTTTAAAATTTGTATTTCTTTTTTTGCTAATCAAAAGGATTAAAAAGACTCAGTATACTTGGAAACCAGAAACAGTTTCTATAGAGAAAGCAGAGGAGAAGGAGAAAGGAGTAACTTGATATTTTGGAAGACAATGGATATTTCTGTGAAACTTCTTTTCAAGTTCATCACTGACTCAAGGTTGAATAAAATCTGTAGTCTCAAAAGGCCCATCATTTATATTTCTCTTTTTTGAGAAAAATGGTCCCATGCTTTCCCATGTGACTGTTACTCTGCACAACTGATTGGACAAGGAGTGGACCCCTGACCCAAACACAGGCACTTATAGGTTGACCCGGGGCTTGGTGAATGATTCAATCGGAATTCTTGGCAAAAGAGTTGAGGCTGTTTAATAGTCTTATTTTACGGATCCAAGGAGGCCAAATATTTGGGAGAACTGCTACACCAATGCAACTTCATGCCTCCAGTCCACAAACCTTTACTTTCATGAATTAAATATAACCATTTTGAATGAAGGCAAAAAGAAGTGGACTGTGTGAAGCACTGTGTGTTTGGACCTATCTACTCACCTTTGTTCCATGGCTTGAGAAAGAAAGGTGCAATGACAGCGATGCCATCAGCTCCTATTTCTGCTGCATGTTGGGCCTTCAAAAGAAGAAGGATGACCGTTACGGGTCTGGACACAATTCTGATGTGTGTGGGTGTGAGTGTTTCCCCAGACCAACAAGCAAATTCTCCAACACCAGTTGGGTGTCCTACAGTTCAATTCAACTCTGACACTATGTACCCGGAGATAGTCAGATTCCACAGGTTAAGGACTCAGTCCCACAAGACTACACCCCACCCACAACTGCCTTCACATGTCAGTCCCAGGCCCAGGTTATCACATATGCTTCTGACTGACTGGTTATAGATGGGAGGTTGCAACAACCCCTTCCTCGGGCTGATTAATTTGCTAGAGCAGCTCACGGAACTCAGAAGCCTTTTACTTACTGGATCACAAGTTTATTACAAAAGGATATAACTCAGGAACAACCAGATGGAAGAGATGCATAGGGCGAGGGATGAAGAAAGGTTGGGGAGTCCATGCCCTCTCTCAGCTCCAGGGTGCCACCCTCCCCAAATCTCCACAGGTTCACCTATCTGGAAGCTCTTTGAAACTCGCCCTTTTAGGTTTCTATGGAGGCTTCATTAGGTAGGCTGATTGATTAAATCGTGGGCCATCGTCAATTGTTTCAACTTCCAGCTCCATCCCTTCCCCTCCCTGGAGGTTGAGGGTTGGGGCTGAAAGTTCCAACTCTCTAGTTACATGGTTGGTTCTCCTGGTAACCAGCCCCCATTCTTAGGTGCTTTCCAAAAATCACCTTATTAACATAAAAAGAGACATCTTTATTGCTCTCATCACAGGAAATTCCAAGGATTTTAGGAGCTGTGTGCCAGAAATGGGACAAAGACCAAATACATATTATTATAAATTACAATGTCACAACTATCCTGGAATAAGTGATTTACTATTTCACCTACAGCTTAGATACTAGAGCTTAGCAACAAACTTTTTAAATATGCCAACCGATGCACCACTAGAGAGTAGAAAATTAGCCAAATTTCATGAAAAACGTCACTACCAGTGAGGAGGCCCCTTGAGTGGTCTCTCGCAGATGGACCTGCATACATACCAGTTCTTGTGACTCCTTCAAGCTCAGCGCTCCTACGTGAATTACTACCTGATCCAACCTGCAAAAGAGAACACACTGTGGCATCACTCGAAGTTTACAGGAACACAGATGGCCTCGCCATCCTGGTTTGTGCTGGTTTCAGCAGTTAGTGAACATCTCATTAATCTCAATCTCAAGACTATTAAATTCTACAGTGGTCTATTTAAGATTAATGTAATTAGGGACTAAAAATAATGTCCAGGGAATAAAATTTAAGGTTCAACCAGGCAGTGGAATTTTGAAACCAATAAATTGATTAATCAATACTTGAATACTTATTTTGACCAAGCATTGTTTTCTTTTTGAGGAAGATTAGCCCCGAGTTAATGCCTGCTGCCAATCCTCCTCTTTTTGCTGAGGAAGACTGGCCCTGAGCTAACATCCGTGCCCATCCTCCTCTACTTTATATGTGGGACGCCTATCACAGTACGGCTTGACAAGCACTGTGTAGGTTTGTACCCGGGATCTGAACCAGTGAACCCCGGGTGCCAAAGCAGAATGTGCGAACTTAATGGCTGCACCACTGGGCCGGACCCGACTAAGCATTGTTTTAGAGGCTGTATTTGATAGTGCCATGTGCGTGAAGATAAGTATAAAACTGAGATATTTTTGGTTGGAGATAAAAATAAAGAGATCCCTCAAAGAGTACAACCAGAAACCAGCTATATGAGAAATGAATTCGGTGTAAAAATCTTTTCCCTATCTTGTAAGTCCTCAGAATTTGGCCGCAAGAGAGGTTTTCTGAGACTCCAATGTTCACCTTTGGGGGTGCTTCACATGGCCCCACGGGGGGAGGCCACGGCAGGACTGGTGTTCTCAGGAAGGATTAACAAAACTCAGCCGTGAACTCAGTCAGCGAGGGACTCTGAATGACACACATGCCATCCTCAAGGGATGGAGACATCACGTGCCTGCTTAGGCCCAATCACTGAGTCCTCCCATGATCCTTGACTTGTTGTATCTTAGGTAAAATAGGAACTAGTGGGAAGCGACATGATCAGGGTTGCCTTTTTAAAGGATAGAGAAGACTTCTGAAAGGAGAAGAGAAGGCTGACTGATGTGTTTTCCTCTTACCAACAGCTTTCCCGCACAACCTCCTTAAACCCTTCACTACCCTTCCTCCAGGCTTAGGTTAAAGCAATCACCTCTACCCTCCTCCTCTCCACCCTGCTTCTAGAGAAAACCACCCTATGGCTTTAATACAAACTTGAAATTTCCCAATTCAGGAGAATGAGGCTCCAAAAAGCCTTCTGGTCGCCATGACTCACTTCCCTTTCCAATTTCCTGCAGCCGTTACTCCAAATCTTGACTATTCTCCTCAAGCTCTAAATTCCACCGCGACTCCTTGTTCTTGGCAGATGTCTTCGCTTCTTACACACCAAAGATAAAGATGGTTTCACACAGTCTCTCTCACTTTTCCCCCTCTTCACCTCTACACTCAGCTATGTCACCGTCTATGCTTTCCTCCCAGCTTCTCAGCTGTCTTCTAAAGTTACTCCATCTACTTTTGGTTTTATTTCAAGCCCCCTGCCAAGACCTTCCATCAAAGGCATCAGTTCTCTACTTTCTTTTAATCTCTTCTCCCATGGCAGTGTGCTTTCAACATAGAAACGTGCTCAAGACTTCTCCACTTGAAGAAAAGAAACTACCCTTCTTTGAATCCTGCTTCCTCCTCCTTAATCTACTAATGCATCTCTCCTTCCCTTCACCAGGAAAGTTTTTGTGAGAATAAGCTGCATTCGCTGCCCCCACTTCCACACGTCTGCTGCATTCTACAGCTCACCGCAGCCTGCTTCTGCCACAATAACCTGCTGGCTCTGCTCTCGAGGTCATAGGTCACTTCAAATGGTCTTCTCAGTCCTCTATCTACTGACTTTCACAGCATCTAATAATTATTATAACAAATGTTATAACGAACACAGCATCTTCTGCAAATAATTACAATGAATTCATATATAATACTTAGCACTATGTGTCAGGCACTGTTCGAATCCTCACCACCACCTTACAAGATAGGTGCTATTATTCCTATTTTACAGATGAAGCACAGGGCAGTTAAGTGACTTGCCTGAGTTCACAGAGCTAGTAAGAGGCAGAGCCAGAACCCAAACTCAGGCGGGCTGGCTCTACAGTCCTCGCTCTTGACCTCCACGCTGCATCGCAGCTCTCTGAAACCACCCTTCTGGCAGTGACAACATTCACTCCCGACCTCCCTCCTACCCTCCTGAGAGCTTTCTGTCTCTGCCCACTTTGCTGTCCCCCTTATTTCTGGTGCTTTTCTTTTTTTTTTTTTTGAGAAAGATTAGCCCTGAGCTAACTGCTGCCAATCCTCCTCTTTTTGCTGAGGAAGACTGGCCCTGAGCTAACATCCATGCCCATCTTCCTCTACTTTATACATGGGATGCCTACCACAGCATAGCTTTTTGCCAAGTGGTGCCATGCCCAAACCCGGGATCCGAACCAGCGAACTCTGGGCCGCCGAGAAGTGGAACGTGCGAACTTAACCAGTGCGCCACCGGGCCAGCCCATCTGGTGCTTTTCTTAATGTTTATCCTTAACCTTCCTCTTTTCTCACTCTGCCCATGGTCTTTAATATTTTTGGAACCAGGACCTGATGGAAAATTAGCTGAAAGCTGACGGATCACCAGAAAATGCTTATGTGGACATACACTCAACTTGGCATGCAATACAATTTCAGAGTCCTCAAGGTGCTCGGGAGCCATTTAAAGATTCCCAAGGTGGGGCTGGCCCAGTGGCGCAGCAGTTAAGTTCGCAAGTTCTGATTCTCAGAGGCCCGGGGTTCGCCAGTTCTGATCCCAAGTGTGGACATGGCACCGCTTGGCACACCATGCTGTGGTAGGCATCCCACGTATAAAGTAGAGGAAGATGGGCACAGATGTCAACTCAGAGCCTATCTTCCTCAGCAAAAAGAGGAGGATTGGCAGTAGTTAGCTCAGGGCTAATCTTCCTCAAAAAATAAAAGATTCCCAAGGTGGCCATGGGCTTCACACTGACCACCTCTGCTCCTGGCTCACTTGGGACTTCCCTCTACTCTTCGCCTCTCCCTAAGGCAACAGCAATCACTCCTTTCCCTGATGCCTGTTTATACTATTTATCACAAGGATCAGAAGGTTAGTTTCCATGATCTGACATCTCCATTGGACAGTAAGCAACCTGAGTGCAGAGAGCTGTTTTATATCCTTAGTGCCAGCACAGTGCATAACACACAACCAAAAAATAGAAAATGCACTTTTCTTTTTTGAGGAAGATTAGCCCTGAGCTAACATCTGCCACCAATTCTCCTCTTTTTTTTTGCTGAGGAAGACTGGCCCTGAGCTAACATCCATGCCCATCTTCCTCTACTTTATATGTGGGATGTCTGCCACAGCATGGCTGGACAAGCGGTGCCATGTCCGCACCTGGGATCTGAACCAGCAAACCCTGGGCTGCCGAAGTGGAATGTGCAAACTTAACCACTGCACCACTGGGGTGGCCCCCAAAATAGACAATGAATAAAGCTTGATTAATTGAATGTGCTTCTTGAACTGATCCTGTCCTATTTGTTTAACCCTGGCATGAATTGAGCATTATAACAAAAATATATCACTACACTGAAGCTTGGAGGATGCAGAAAGTTCCATAAGATTATGAGGAAGTACCATAAAGAGCATGCTGAGTCATGCACTAAGAAGATCTCTGAGGAAGCAACAGGGTTGATAGGCATCCATCCTGAGAAGGGAAGGAGCATGAGTTGTTCAGCAGAAGAGCCAGGAGCAGAGCAGAGTCGGTCACCAGCACCTTCCTCTCATGTCCCCTTAGCCCAAGGACAGGTAACCCAGGGGGGACTGGCCTGGTAGATAGATAAGAGGCAGTTTCCAGTTTCCAGATGGAACCTCTAAGGGCCAGGTGTGTCTTGCAGTCCGGCTGCTCTTGCACACAGAAAGGAAGGGCGCTCCTCTGCCTCAGCTCTTTGCCCAGGTGTTAGGATCCTCGGGTCCTGCTCATTTTCCCACAAGCTGACCTTGAGCCTGACCTCTGAGCAGAAGGTGGGGAGGCTGTGCCACCCAGGGAAGAGCTGCACTCCAGCTCTTGCAGATGAGAGTTTTTATCACCGTGGGGCCACTCACTTGTTCCTCCCTTTTGTCACCCACTCCTCTGCGACCCGGCGGCGCTCTGAGATGCTCAGGGACAGGCCTTCTCCCGTTGTGCCGTTCACTGTTCCAAACAAAGAGGCAGTCAGTGGGACCAACAAACACACTTTGCTCCTCCAACGCCAATGCTGGGAGTGCAGGGTCAGAAATCCCTGCTTACGAGCAAGTGACACAGAGAAACATCAGAAGACAGAATCCAGGAGGGGAAAATGCCATGTTTCCACTTTCACCTGAGACTCAGTCTTTTTTCTGCCTTCCTCTTGTCAAAGGCAGCAGGAAGGTTAATTATGACTTGTAATTACAATCTGTCCTTGCTATCAGGGACAGAGAGCACATATTTCGAATGGAGACAGAGATGACTGCCCACATTTTAGGCAAATCTCCAAACACATCCCCCAGTTCTATATTTGGGTTTGAAGGGCAGGAAAATCAAGACCATTGAGTACTGGGATGTCAAGTGGTCGTAAGTGGGAGTTACTTACGAGGACAGTGGTATATATGACAGATCTAACATGACCTCTGTCTAAGTCTGACATGGCAGTGCTCTATGACAGCTCATGTTTTAAATGATAATTCATAAGAAAGCACTAGGATATTAATATTTCTTGTAGCAAGCACTCTTATATATTCACTTATTCTCACAACAACCCAGCAAAGTACGAATGATTCTTCTCATTTACAAATGAAAATGTGACGTTGTGAATCACTAAATAACCTAAGTTTGAATCTACATCTGTATGATTCCCAAACTTTCCCTTCTATGACAATCATCTCTTAATGGATCACAGAAAGGATGCAAATGGCACTAGGATACATTACTGGGGCCTAACGCATATGGCGGCACTTTGGATCTCCAATGCTGAGCACTCATTTGGGGTAGAGGAGGAGGGTGGGAGGTGAGGGGCAGCAGGAAAGTTTTTATCATTCCTTTGGGGTCTTGACACAAGTCAAGCATGCTCCAGCAGCAGGGATGTTCCTACTTCTTCCCCAAACCCATGGGAACCTGTATCCCTCTGAGGAGGAAGAATCTGTCTCCCCATCTATGGCCTGGAGCTATAGAGGGACACCGAGAGGTTCTATAATCAGGTTTCGCTTTTGACATGTGGGCTGGACACCTCTTCACAGAAGTTTTAGCCTGTTCTGATTATGACCACGGTGCCTCCAGTTCTGAAGGGGCCCCTGCTGGCAGAGCAATAGCTCAGGGCCAAGGTGTAGTGTCCCCAGAATGAGAAGCAATCCAAGGGGCCGAGTGACCAGAACGCAACATGAGGGGCAGCTCAATCACAGGTAAGTATAGTTCTCAGGCTTAAAATGTTCAAGGTCTGATCTTTTAATTTCCATCGTCTACGAAGTAAATGAGGGTAAGTGCTAGACCCACGATTCCTCTGTGTGCTGCACTCAGAGCCTTTCTTACGCTTACAGTAGGAGAGGTCTGGGTGAAGTGAGAGTGAAGCCCCTTAAGAGAGAGAAGGCTGGGTTTTGTAGTTACCCTACCACCTCTTGGCTGAGTGGACTTGAGCAACCTAAATAATATACCTGAGCCATAGATTTTCTTCTTTAAATGGGAATACAAATAATAGCTTATCTGTTTGGAAGGCACACCAGCAAATTAGATAATCTCCTGAGTGCTTTATAGGCTTAAAATGGATGAGTCCACAAATTCATGGATTTTACACAGCTTAGCCAGGCTCAGTCACAACCGATGACACAGTGACACTGTGACCTCCTGGTTAGCAATCAGTTGAGAGCTATTTTCTGAGGACTGAGCTAGAGATATGTAGTGAAATCTCTAAAAATGACTTACCAAAAATATTCTTCACTCCCTGTTCTTTCACAAGATAATCCACATACTGACCAATTACTGAAAAGTTGATTTCTCTAAAAGACAGGAAAAAGAAATAGAAAACAATGCATATTTAGCTTTTTTTGACATTTTTATTCAACCAAACTCCAAGTCTATAAACTCTTCTCTCTTGTTAATATTTATTAAAATCCACCTAATCAGTTTGTGAAATTCTTAGCCTGCTCTGAGTAATGCTTTTTTTTTTCTCTTGAGTCTGGTGATTTCTCTACTCAGCCAGGTGTGTCTCACTTATGTGAGCAAAACACTATTAGTTATCAACAAAGGATTTACCTTTAAATCTCATCACAAGTAATATTTAAAAAGTAGTTACTTAATCATCTTTTGCCCTTTTTAGGAAGAGCAATGGTTGGGAGCATGGTTAAAAAAGAACTTAACATTTTCCATTCAGTGGGAAACAATAATTTTTTAGGTTTACAAGATAGGAAAATTCAATCTTAACAATTTAAGAATTTCAGCAGTTAACAGTTTTTTCTTTTTTTCTTTCTTGTTTTTTGGTGAGGAAGATTGCCTCTGAGCTAACATCTATTGCCAATCTTCCTCTTTTTGCTTGAGGAAGATTGTCGCCGAGCTAAAATCTGTGCCAATCTTCCTCCATTTTGTACGTGGGACACCACCACAGTATGGCTTGATGAGCAGTGCATATGTCTGCACCCAGGATCTGAATCTGTGAACCCCAGGCTGCCAAGGCAGAGTGCGTGAACTTCACCAATAGGTCACCAGGTCAGCCCCAGCACTTAATATTTGTGATAACAAATGAAGGCTTAAACTGTTTTTGCTAGCTTTAAATCGAAGAGGATTAACATTTGGAAAGGAACTTTGTGTCACTTTGCCTCCCAAAGCGTGACTGCGGAGCAGCAGGCAAGGCACCTGGGGGAGTTTGTTAGAAATGCAGAGTCCCAGGTCCCACGGAGCCCTACCCAGTGAAAATCTGCATTGTAACAAGATCCTCATGTGATCTGCATGCACTGTGCAATTTGAAGAGCTCTGACCTTGTAAGGATCTGATGCTTAAGAAAACAAAGGCTCTTTTCCTTAACGTCATATTGATTTTAAAATCTGGAAACGGACTCACACACAAATCATAGAAAGCGACCTGTTCTCCATCAAAATGAAGGTGGGAAGGATGGGGGATTGAGAGAGAAAATCCAAAGGAAAACTGTGTGGCAAGTCTGCGTTAAATGTTGCAGAACCCCTGGTTACCTTGCCAAGAACACAAAGTACCAGTTGGCTGCCGTTTGCATTTTTGTCAACGGGGCCAGAGAATCCTAACTTAATTTTAACCTTATTAACATTCTTTTCATCTTTATTATTATATTCCTTAAAAAACAAAAACAACACAAAAAATCTGATGCATAGAGAAAACAAAGACATCAAAAGGCATTTGTCAAAGGGAATAGAAACAACAGAGATAAAACAAAGACTGCACAGGCAATCAATGCCCACAACACGCAAATGACAACTAGCTGGAGCCTGCCACTTGGGAAAAGGTGTGCTTTCATGTAGTTATAAGCCTCCAAGGGGAGCAGACTCCCTCTGTGATGGCTCACGCCCCAGCACTGCCCTGCCCCACTCGCTCAAATGCAGAATCCTGGTCTCAGTTTTGCTAAGCAGGGAAGGCTCCTTGAATGCATGACAGGAACGAATTTAGATTGTTCTTACCTAAATGGAGGATGGAGAAGTGAGGTGCCTAGACAATCCATCTCGAGACCCTCATTTAGGTCAGCCTGACCTGCTCAACTTCTCGAAATCTCTCTGCCTCAGACATTTCTGGCCTCTTGGAACCATACCTTTACAATACAGTAATGAGTTGCTTAACGATGGGGAGAAGTTCTGAGAAATGTGCTGTTAGGCAATTTATTGTTGTGCAAACATCACAGGTGGACTTACACAAACCTAGGTGGTGTAGCTTACTACACACCTAGACTATATAGTATTAATCTTATGGGACCATGCGTCCGCTGTTGACCAAAACGTCATTATGTGGCTCATGACTGTACACCTGCTCCTTGCTGCTTCCATCAGCTCTTCCCCACTTGGGATAAGCTCTGAAATGCAGGACAATCAGCAGGCGCTTTGTTTGTGTGACACTAACTCTGGTTTTGACCACTGATGTCCATCTACTCATGCAAGCAACCAGGAAACAGCCTCTGGCAGACCCAGGAGACTTATGAATCACAGGTTGGAAACTGGAAATAAACTCACTGGGCAATAGCCTGTCGGAGTCACAGATTCAAACACAGTGGCTCCTGTATACTTTCACTGAAGTCTTTTTTTTTTTTTTTTTTTGAGGAAGATTAGCCCTGAGCTAACATCCATGCCCATCTTCCTCTACTTTATATGTGGGATGCCTACCACAGCATGGTGTGCCAAATGGTGCCATGTCCGCACCTGGGATCCGAACCAGTGAACCTCGGGCCGCCGAGAAGTGGAACGTGCGAAGTGGAACGTGCGAACTTAACCGCTGCGCCACTGGGCTGGCCGGCCCTCACTGAAGTCTTGATACCTCCCTGTCCCACCTCGGCCACACCCTCAAAGACACTGAGAGCAGGCCTGGCTTTTTCACCAAGGAGAGGCCGCAGAGCTCTGGATGGTCGAGGCCTGCTAGGCACTGTCCTCACTCTGATCTGCATTCCTCTGGTTTAATCTAATGCTTTCTCATTTGGGAAGGGAAGCTGGAGAGCTTGCTTCCATTTTCAGAAATCCTTAAGGAGAAGAAACCAACTGAGTCTTCTAGGGCGTATGTGTGTATCCCCCAACGTGGACTCTAAACTCAGCAGGGACACTGCCCACTCCCCTCGAGTAGGCCTCTAATGAGCCCAGTACAAGTGCTCAGCATTCTGTCTGGCTCCAATTAAATGCTGTTATTACTCCTCAGTGACAAAAACTGGAAATATCTCACACTCTCAGCAAAGCTCACATCTCTGTCATCATGAAAATCATTCGGTAAATTGTTTATATCCATTCTCCAGGCTTGAGCAAGAACTTGAAAGGCAGGAGCTGTGCCTTTTACACTTACAATCCCTCGTCTGCACTTGGCACGGCGCGGATGCTCAATAAAGGCTGGTAAAGGAGGCGTGACTCAGAAACTTACAACGATGGTGAAATACCCATCATCTCTGCCTTAAAGGCAGCTTATACCCATACTGGCACGATGCGTTTAAATTCCACTATGATTTTAACTGAGCAAAGGAGATAGCATATATAAATAACTAAAATATTGAGGAAAATATGATGAAGGATATGACTGAGTTAAAGTGTACAGGGGTTCAGCAGGGGGACTGCTAATTCCAATGAGGGAGGCTGGGAAGGAAACTCCAGGGAGGAGGTGGAATAATAAATAGGATGAAATCCCATCATCCTCCCTCCCACCTACATCCTCCAGAGCTGCTATTTGTCTGGCCCTACTCCAGCGTCCTCCTCTTTCCTGGCAGTTGGCTGCACCCTAGGCAGATCTAGGCCAGTACGTGAAACCCATGGTTCCTTCTCCTTCCTCAGTGAATTCCACACTATTTTATGGCTTCAGTGGGTAGTGCTTCTGTCTACACTACGCCCTCCCCACGCTCCGTTAGGCCTTGCTGGATGACAGCTACGACAATTTCACTCAGGTTAGGGGTGCTAACGGGTGATATGTCATCTATCTCTTCAAGAAAGCACAGTTTTCCGCGTCTTATAAAATGCCCCTAGCCCACAAGAGTGACACTAATCGTGGGACTTCTGGGGCAGTGGCAGAGTCACCCAAAAACATCCCTGGACTTACGGCCTTTTGGAACTACCAAATCCCCTTAGAGAGATCACAGGTTGATAAGGGATGATTCCTAAGCACACTGTTTGACTTTCACAATGTTAGAATTTTTTTCATGTTAAAAAAAAAAAAAAGACTTTATTTGCAAAGCCAGAAGATCTAACAAGGCCAGGCCTACATTTCCATACAGCACCAACTGGCTGGGAAGAGCAGTGACTGCCCCCTTCGGAGGCACAGAAGCCCCCCAGGTCACCTCAGGGATTTCAGATTCCTGCCTGATTAGAGGTGCAAATTTGTGGCCCTCGGCAGAGATGCTCAGCAGCTCCAGTCACAAGTGAGCGCAGTGAAATCACCCATGGCTGTTGTCACATTTGTCACAAAGGTGCCCCAAATAGCAGGGCTAAGGAGGCAACAGGATGATAATTGTCTCTGGGACTTCGCTTCTTTCCCTGTTTTCCCACCCTACTCGCCCTCCCCTTGGTATCTGGGTTTATGGTCCTTGCTGCAGGCACTCCATCCGTTATCAGGAAGTCACTAGAGAGGATAGAAACGACGAGATTAGATTCTTCTTCTCCCCACTGGCTGGCTGGTTGGGGCTTGTTGCTCAGGGAAGCAAGAGGTGGCACAGCCAGTTCACTTGAAAACACTGGCTTGGCTTTCCATTGCATTGTCTCTTCCTCTGTGAGCTCCAAGCACAGATCTAACCACTGGTCACCACAGGGGAGAGTGTCCCAGGACCAAATGCCATGCCTGCTGCGGTCATTCCCATACTTAACTCCAATTCAATGTCTTAATTTCAATTCTCATGGCTTCGGATTCTTTGCCTTAGGTCCATGATTTTTCTTTTTTAAATAAAAGTACTTATTTTTTTCATATTACAAAAGCTATATAGTTTATTTTAGAAGCTACACACAATAAAAAAGGGGAAAAAACCCTCAGGATCTCCCTGGAGATTATTACTTATTAGTTTGATATTTTTCTATTCACAAATACATAATATAGTATTTTCCTAAATAAATAAAGTCATATTGTACATAGCATTATATTTTTTTCACTTAGCAGCCCAAATTGAATATTTTCCCACATCTTCAGATACCATTATTACACTGGCTACACAGCATTTCATGTACAGCCGAACATAAACGATTTAGCTAATCCTCTCTTCTTGGACATTTAGTTTGCTTTCAATCTATATAAGAGGAGAAAAAGTTTACCAAATTATTTTTGGACAAACCAAACTGTGAAACTGCATGCGAACTTTCTCTCTTCCCTTAGGGTATAAGGATAACAGAATTTTTCTGACGTGGCTTTCCCTATTGCTGTTCATTTCCTCTCCTGGTGCATGACACACAGTGAAAGACTTTCACTTTGAGAATACAGAATCACCAGGACAGGCTCTTTTCATAACTGGCATGACCTGGCATGCATATCAGAAAATCTGACATGCCACTTTTTTGCCTGTTATGTATAACTCTCAGCAGTCAAAGTCAGATGGAAGTTATGTACGCTTTCGGCAAAATAACTCTACTCGGCTATTTCAAAACTCCTTCAGCAGAGAAGCATGCAGGGACCGTACTGCCCCATCTTGCCAGAGGTAGACAACGTTCTGTTCTGGGAGCCTGGGTCATTGAGTGTCCCAACACAGTTAAAAAGACAATAATCTATACAACTCCGACTCCAGTGGGCCAGAACCGCTCTAACTTTGTTTTTACTACAGGGTGTTGTGAAGATTCCCATGGTGAAGTCAAGGACATTAAAGGGAGAAAACACGACTTTTTATTGACATCTTGGCCAATCTGAAAATGGACTTTCTGTCCTAATGACTGGGTACTTGCCTGAAGGAAAAAGTGACTTCTTGAAACAACTAAGGAAAGCAAAAGCCTTTCACTCTGGTGTAGAAAAAGATAAGAGTTGGGATGGGTAGAGAAAAACTCTTCCTTTTCAGTCATGTGGCTGGGGTAAGCATTAATCTTTAGGATCTTGGTTTCATCAACTGCAAAAACAGAGATAAGAGCCCTTTAACAGAGTTGCTGTGAAGATTAAATGGCAACGTGTATATTAAGCTGCCCAGGACAGTGACTGACACATGGTGTTTAGCCAGTCAGTGTTAGCTCCCTTTCCTCATGAAATAACAAAAGTACCCATCACGAAATAAATGTACCACACCCTGTGCCACATGTTTAAGATACAAAGATAAATAACATACACGCTCAGTCCTCAGTATTGCCTGATACTCAGTAAATACCTGTTGAGTAAGGTTAAGCAGCTCAAAGCCTGTTGGGAGAGATAGATATGTAACAGAGTTATTGTAGTAATTATTATAATGACACAATTCTAATGTAATGTGAAAAGATATGTACACGGTGCTGTGGGCTCACAGGGGAGGGCTCTCTAACTCTTTTTAGGGAAAATGGGAAAGACTCACCAAAGGTGGGTTTTGACCAGTGAACAGAAGTGTGCAGTGGAGTAGAGAAAGGAGACACTGGCGACAGAAAAAGGCAGAGGAAACAGAATGGGGAAAGGCACAGAGGGAAGAAAGGGTACGAAGTGTTTGGGGAAACAGAAACAAAGCAGGAAAGGTAGATTGTAAAGGACTAACTATGTCATCCCAGAGTCTGGGCTTTACACTTTAGACCAGTTCGTCTCAGACCTTAATGTGCTATAGAATGATCCGGGGACGCAGGTTCTGGTTCAGCGGTATGTAGTAGGGCCCGAGATTCTGCATTTCTAGCAAGTTCCTATGTGATGTTGGAGCAAATGGCCCACGGACATACAATGAGTAGCAAGGCTTACACAAAAGGGAGTCAACAGAGATTCTTAAAGAGAAGAGTGGCATGATTAGCTTTATTTCTGAGGACGCTCACTGGGCGCCAGTGTGGAGGCTGCACTGGAGTTGCAGGGACTTCACACATTCTCATTCATGGGGATCACCACAATATCCCTCATGACAACACGAAAGGACCACAGACTCTTAGAATTCAAATAGGTCTTAGGGATAATGTGGTTGAACACCTTCTCTTTGCAAATATGAAAGGGAACTTTTAAACAGTGACAAGACCTCCCCAGGGTCAGACAACTAGCTGGTGGTCAAGAACCCAGATACTCTAACTAAAATCCATTTAACCATGTTCTTTCTGCCAATCTCCCCCAGTGCAGGATATCAAGTTAAATTCAGAGAGTTGAATCATTAATGAATATTCCTTAGAATTACTAAGATAAAAGGATGCAGGGGAATAGTTATTGCTCAGCCATTCCAAATTATGGAGGCCAAGGTATACAGCATGAGCCAGGTTAGGAAAATTTCTGTGACAGCAGGTCACCAGGCAGAATTTCCAGGTGTTAGATTCCAGTGACCTTTCTTTTTGTCCTGTGTCTTGGAAACGTGTCTGAAGTGCAGATTCCCTTGTGGGCAAGTAAGTTAATGCTCACTTGCTCTTGGCACGTGCTCCAAACCTGCTTTGTACCTATAGGAATGTTTGCATGGAGCAGGTGGTGGGAGAAGGAAACTAACAAAGTTTATGTGCCTACTCTGTGCTACATACTAACACACATTATAATTTAGTTTAATTCTAACAAGGCCCTTACAAAAAAATGCATTCTTATTTTGATTTCACACCTGAGGAAAGTGAGGGTCCTGGAAGAGAAAAGAATTGATGAAAAAAGAGGAAATAGTGAAATGGAGGCAGCAGGGCCAGAGGTATTTGGGAAAAGGAGAAGGACCCAGCAAAGCAGAGTCATTTTTGAAACCTCTAATACACAGGGCCTGCTGTCCCAGGAAAACAGCAGAATAAGGAGGACAAACACACTGATACTCTCAGTGAGTCCCAGATGAACAAAAAGGGCTGTTTTAAGAAGCCACTTGTAGACTACGAGGGGTCTGATTAAACAGGTTACAGGAGCATCAACCAGACTTAGTGTTTTGAGCTTGTAAACAGGATATTACTCCATAATAGGAAGTAAACTCTGCTTGCTCATGCAATCACATGTCTTCTGTTTTATCTGCCCAATAAGTGTCTGACACACTGAGAAAAAGCTGACTTCAGGCTTTTCTAGAACTAGTGGAAAGAGAGCAACAGAAAAAAAAAATTGCTGTTAACCACTGAGTAATCTAAATGCCATCTCACCAAGAATTTTACTTAGACCCAGTAAAGATGTGATTTTTCATGAATCTTAGAAGCTGGAAGCCTTGAACTCCAATGATCTAAGGGAAAACTGTGATATGGCCAACTTTGAATGAGAAGAGTGTCATGAGAAATTTCATCTACTTTAAAGGGGTAGGCTTAAGGTTTACAAATTCACCAACAGAAGACCAAAAAAACGAAAGTCTTATTTAAAGATATCTTAAATACCTCATCTTCCTTTCACCCATCTTATGCCACAATAGCAGTTCAAACTTATTGACCTAAGTACATACTGACCCTGTGCTAAGCAGTATTATATGGATAATCTCATTTAATGCTCATAACTCCATGATGTAGGTATGATTATCATTATATTTTATAGAGGAAGAAAGGAGAAGCTTAAAGAAGCCAAAATTCTATTTCGGTAGACTGATTCCTTTAACAGGTCAAAAACATTTAGATCCAGGAGGTAGATGAATCCCCTTTTTATTAATGGCAATATCCAGAGAGGAGTTATAGTCTGTGCATGAACACCTATGGCAAATTATCTGATAGTATAAGCAAAGGAACCACCATACTATTCATCTGGAAGTAAAATACTTGCTTGGGTAATGATTTCTCAGCAAACATCTGCTGTAACCTCCCACTCCTGCAGGCTCCCCAACATTTAACCAATGTTGGAATGAGACTGTAAACACCCCTAAGGGGGCCACCTTGCAGTTAGTTACCTTTCCCACTTTCCTCAGGGCAGGACATTTTCATGAAGTCTATGAATAGCCTGGGGTGAAGTCACGCAGGTGTCTAGAGACAGGATCCAGAGGGGACAGGCCAGTGCTTGACATCAAATCTTGCTCAAATGAGATTCTCCTTATTCAGCTCCACTGGCTTTATTTGGCAAAGCCGGGGCTCTGATGAAATCCAAGGAGGATTTGCTTTGTGGAGCTACAGACACTGGCAGACAGGCAAGCTGCCACATCTTACCTTCTCTCTGTCTGCACTATTTGTGGTATAGAGACCTCCTCTCTGACTTGGGGTCAGAGACAGTGCAGCAGGGTGACTGACAGAAGCCGCCCTTTGGCGACAGAGGCAGAGTCTGAGTGACTGTTATGATCGAGACCTTCTGTCCATTTTGGCAGAGTGAGAACAAATTTCTTTAGGTCCCAAATGATAGTTACCCATGCTCGGTCATCGGCGTGATGGTTGCAGCAACAAGACCTTGAAGTTTCTTCTTCGGGGAGGCCATTGAGCTGCTGACAAGAGTCTGGAAAACATACAATGTGATTCTTTTCCTTCTTCAAGGAACGCTAATTAATGATAAAACTCCTGGGCAAAGTCTGTTCCCAGTTTAGAACTGTGAGAAATGCTTACAAGGACACAAACACACAGAGCAAATGAGAGGAATGTAAAATTTTAGAGCTTAATTCTATAGGGGAGGAAATTATTCTCTAAAGACAGGAGACGGTGGTGACAAGAAGGCAGCAATGTTCCGGGAAACTATCATCACAAAGGCCTCCCATTTTATCTATATAGATGACTGAGGCAATCAAACTATTTTCAAATTTATCGAGCGATTCTTTCAAATTCTAATTTTGACCAGTTTTGCCCTGTTTTCCTAGTTCCAGCAAACCATGTAAACTGCATCACAATTATTTATTCACCTCTCCCCCACTAGACCAAGCTCCCAGGACAGGGGACATATCTCATTGTCTTTCCTTTCCCCGCATTGAGCACTTTGCTGAACGCCTCGTGTTCAATTAAAAAGTGATGAATGTGTGGGTGACTGAATGAGGTGTTCAGATTGTTTGGATGATGACCTCCACAGATGGGGAGACCAGTACCGAGTCAACTTGACCTCACTCACGTGGGGCAAAAGGATCCCTCACCATCTGGCAGAGAGTGTACATGTCCATAATCAGCATAAAAAAGCCAAGAAGTTGTCCAAAACTGGCAATGAGAGCAATAGAGCATTGTGCTTAATAGTCTGGACTCTGCAGGCAGACTGCCTGGTTCAACTCCCAGCTCCGCCACTTACTAGTCACAGAAGCATTATTATTTTTTGAGCTGGAAGACATAAAAATTTGAAACTACAAAAGCAGAGTCTAACAATTAAAGAAGAAAATAAAATATCAAATAGTATTTGGTGACAATTACATAAAAGATGGTTGGTTTAGAGCAAATACAGTGATGTCTATAGGTAATCAACAAGAGGGGGTATAAGTTCTGAGGTCACTGGTATATTTAAAAACCCAGTGCCCACTATACTTAAATCTGACACATATAATTATTATGAACTAGCTCATTTTGTTTGCTTTTTATAGCTGTCATATCCCCAAAAAGGAGTATAAACTTCTGGAGTACAGAGGTCACATCTTCTACTTTTTCTATATCTCCCAAGCATCCCAGCTCAGGTGAGCCCCTAAAACCAGAAACAGGACAAAATCATGAAAGAGTACAATATAGCAAAAGTTGTGGTTCTTGTGGAAAGCCAATCTGATACCTCCCCTTACAAACAGATGAGTCCCCAGCAAGACTTGCTCCTGAAATTAAGTCAAATCCTTCAAGTAGCTTTGCTCTGTTCTGAAGGGCAATCAAGGAGAACCTCACCAGATATATAGGATACTAAGATTTCTCCGACTTTTCCTAGTTTGAGGATGAGACTAAACTCCTGTTGGAAGTTTTGAAAGATAAAATGTAATCACCTGGTCTAGGAGGAAAACATCAGACCAATTACACAGGTCCTGTCTACCCCAGAGGAATGTCTGAGCATCAGATACGATCGATACTATGCCTGCTGCATATCTCCTCCCGGCACTTCTGCAAGCATCTCAATACCCCAAGGGGAACTTGCCGTCTCATTCTCTGAAGGATTTCTTCCTTTGTTTCTTACAGTAGAGGGCTGAGAGCGCTAGCCCTAGAGTCAGACTTCATGGGTCTGCATCCTGGCTCCACTACCTGCTAGCTTTGTGACCTTGGCACTGTTATTCAACCTCTCTGTGCTTCAGTTTCCCCTTCTGTAAATGGGGATAACATGACCATATTTCTTAGGATTGTTGAGAATTAAACGCACTACTTCTTGTAAAGTGATTAACAACAGAGCCAGGTACATAATAAGGGTGAGTGCAGTCTGCTCCGTGAAGCCCGTCTGATGGCTATAGCACGTTAGCAAGTAGATTATTAGTCCCTTGCCAGCACCCTCTTTCCTGTCATCTCAGCTCTACTGGTAACTCCTCTTCAACCCTCCTTACTCTTGTCAGTTCAGGGACTAAGTCACTTCACTTCTCTTATCTTCTTTTCCTGCAATCCTTTCCCCCCCACTTACTGCCCTTCTCATAACTTACCCTTTGTTACCTCTTATCTAGGCCAATGCGCATAAGCCCAGGACCTAGGGGCCCATAGGGGCTCAAGAAACTTTAAGCGTGAGAGCTGGGTTCAGCATTAAAATTCTCCTAAGTTCAACACTACTAGGATGTCCCATATTGTTGTGCTTTTAGTAGCATTTACTCCATACTTAGGGCAGTTACACTGATATGCTTAGGACGGTCGGAAGCTTGGACTGGCAGTTATATATACCTATCTTTTATGGAAAGAAATCAAGTTAAGTGCACTTAGGTGCAGTCTGATTAATTAAAAACTCAAACCCTGGGGGCCTGTGGGGGTGTGGGATGGGAGTCGGGCATCTCTATCCTAATCCTCACTCTTCTTCAATCCACACAGGCTGCCAGATTAATCTTCCAGTAGCACAGATATTTCTGCTCTGCCTTTGCCCTGCACAGAAAATGCCAATAACATCCCCTGGCTTCCACAGGATAAACACCAAACTCCCTGGTCTGGGTTTCTGGACAGATCTCTTCATGCCTGGAGTGCATGCACTGCACTGTCTCCCGTTGCTCCTCCCTACCTTGTACTGACTGGCCTGCTTCCCTTTCTCCTGTGGTTCCCCCACCTGGGAATGCCATTATCTCCCACTGTAGCCCCTTCAGTCTAGCCAACTTTTAAAACTCACTTTTTAAACGCTAGGGAACATTCCCTGATCTGCCAAGATGAATACAATTTTTTACCTCTTAGAAGTCCTCAAACACTTGCTTTTTATTAAAAACCTTATATCAGAGTTATTAGCAGGGTAGTTTCTGCTCCTTTTCTGAACTGTAAGCCATCAGGGAGCAGGAACGGCTTCAAAAATCTCTCTGCACAGAGCAATACACCAAATAAATGAGCCAAGTTTGCTAACTTTGTGAACTGTGAGACTCTTATGGGACAGATGGAGAAAAGATCACAACTGCAACTGTGTAACACCAACTGTAACTGAGAACGATCGACAGTTTCTAAATTTGAGGCTTAATGTGAACTTAGAATGTTCTTACTGAAACACTGGGGAGGGGCTATTATTCTTGGATCTTATTACCTATATCCACAGACAAGAACACTTAGTACAAAGAATTCAGGTTGCCGAAGTCAAATGATCTTAAAAGGGCAAAGTTTCAAAAAAAAAAACAAAAATCTCCGGAGGAAGAGAAGGATGCGGCTCTGGGCAAGAAGATGACTTGAGAGAGAAATCTTTGGAAAGGAAGAAATAACAGAGAAACTAAAAAAAACAAAAACAACAAAACGCAGAAATACAACCAATGTCCCGTAAGATGAAAGAATTATATCCAATTTAATCTCTAAACTCTCTTCTGCTCAACTGATGATTCTGATCATTTTGGGCAAAGGATCCTTAGAGACCGGCTATGCGGTGTGAAAGAATCCAGGGGCGCAGGTCCCTCTGCCCGGGTCTGTCGGGCACTTGCTCCCGGCCCGCAGTGTCGCATTCACACTTCCTCCAGCTCCATTTCCCAGCTTATCTGCCTTCCCCCTTCCCTTCAGGCCGTCCCCGTCTCACCCACCCCCGAGTCTCGTCCCCCGCGTCCCTCTGCCCGAACCCCCTGGGGGTCTGTCCGTCCCGGTCCGTCCATCCACGCCGGCGCGGGCCGCGCTCACCCGAGCCGCGAGGTCAGCCTCCGCCGCCGCGGCACCCGCCGCCGCTCCGCGCTGTGCAGCCGCCGCTCCGCGCCGCCCCGCCGCGCTCTTTATGGCCCCGCGGATGCTCCGCCCGGCACCACGTGCCCGCCACGCCCCGGGGCCCTGGGGACCGTAGTTGAGCGCCTCTTTCTGCGGCGCTGGTGGGGCTGCACGGTCACGCGTCCCGCGACCCCAAGACGTTATGCATCCGTGGAGTCTCCTCTTCCCTGGGCGGTCCCCGAACGGTGTGGGCTAAAGGAACACGCGCGCGCCGCCCCGGGCCCCCGAGAGTTGCAAGCGTCCGAACTTGCACCTCGGTGCCCGGGAGCTCGCGCTCACACGCGCCTGATCCCGCCGTGGCCAAACCTCTCCCTTCCTCTTTCTCCCGGCCGGTCCTTCCGCTTGCGGACGCCTCCTGGGCTCCTTCCCGTCTTACTTTCCTTCTGAGCAGGGCCCTGCAACGACAGGATTTTCGTGGTTCTGGGTGTTGAAATTTGGGCTGCTGTTTCAGAAGCACGCTGAGAACACTGACGGCCCGGCGGGGCCTCTGTGCTCTTCAGGCCGGGGCTGCTGCCCGCAAGCTCAAGTTCAAAAGTGATGAACGGGTATTAAAAGCGGATCAGTTACGAATGCAGCAGCTTTTCTGGCGTATTCTGGAGAACAATTGAAAGACTTTTGAAAGGGAAAAGCATCTTTCATCAAAATCTCTACTTGCGGGAATGTCAAGAGTTTATTTTCTAATATCATGTACTGTGTTAATAAGTGGGAAGCATAGCCATAAACAAGTCCAGCTTTCTCTTGCTGATATGAGTTAACCTCAATTTTCCATAAATGGCTGATGCTTATTTCATTTAGAGAAAATAAATTTCCCAAAGGGCTTTCTAGTTTGCAAAATGCTTTTTTAAATCTGTTACAATGGTCCTTTCATTGCGCATAGTACCAGAAATTAATTCGTAAAACAATCCTACGTGGTGGGTACTAATTTTTTAATTCGTATTTTACAGATAAGGAAGCATCATCCCATTTTACAGATCAGAAACAGGGTTAAAGAGCTGAAGTGATTTGCCAAAGGCCATAGAGCCAATGAGTGGTTGAGCTGTCATTTGATTTCAGTAATCTGGGAGCTGGTACTTTTAACCACTACTCTATGTTACCCTGCAAAAAAGGAAGGAAGAGTCCTTGGAACCTCTGTTTGTTTTGTAATATTAACAGGAAAGTTAGATCCTAACGGGACAATGTTAGTAATTTTTTTCAAAATCACTCTTTAATATATGCAAAACTAAGTATTTCAGTACCCAAAAGGTATAGGTCATTAGGCTTAATATTGTCAACCAATAAAGCAATATTCTAAATGCATCAGCTACTGTTTATATAAATGTGGTAATACAAAGGAACTCCTTAGAATAATGTCTTAGGTTTTGTCCAGAAGCAGATGCTAAAATGGGATTTGACGTGCAGGAGACTTATTGGCGGAGGAAACCGGAGAAGGCAGGGAGAGCCCTCAGATTGTCACGCAGGGCTGACACCTGTGGTAGGAGACAGCAAGAAAGAGGGTGTGGGAGGAAGAGTCTCACTGAGTGGTGAGGGGCACATCACAGTATCCACCATATGCCCTTAAGAAATTCATGGCCTCTACTGTGAATTGTGGGAGAGACATCTTTAAAAATATACAGACCTGTGCAAAGATATTAAGAAACGCTGAGGGGAGGCTAATCTGGGTGGAGAGGCGAGTGCGTGTATGTTTGTGAGTATGATGAGGCAGGAGAGTGTTTCGGAGAAGTCTTCCTGGAGGAGGTGATACCTGAGCTCAGTCTTGGATGACCGAGTAGGCCTTAAAAGAAGGGAGAGTCAGCAAAAGGCTCCCAGTGGCATCCTCTAACACTTTCTGATAAGGGCCGAGGGCTCTGTGACGTTTCTTCTGTTGTTATCTGGTGTTTTAAAATCATCATTACTTAACTTTTCATGCTTTTATTTCTTGCCCCCTAACTCCACTGGGAGTGCTCAAAGCAGGCACCACATCCTGTTTCTCTGTTTTTCCCACGGTGCAGAGCGTGGTGCCTCTCCTCCTGCAGGCCAAGAGGGTGGATTCGGAGACATTTACTCCCTTCAACTCTCCGTTGTTTTTAAAAAATCTCTTGGGGTTCCATGTCATATTTTCTTTGCTACAATTCAGGTTTGAAACCTGGTGATGTAGAAGAAAGGGCTTGGGGAATCTAGTGCGCTGTAACTGGCCACACGTTCTATCCTTGGAGCAGGACATAGAGCCCTATCACAGGCTACTGAACTGACCGTGGCGGAAGGGTGGTTCCCACAGAGGCTCCCCGCACCTTCTTGTAAGGTTGCTGAAAGGTTCTAGTACCAGTTCCCATGTGTGGGTTCCCCATACTAACAAGCAGCAGTCCCCCAACACCATCTGGGTGTCCTACAATTTAACTCAGTTCTGACACTACCCATAGCATCGGATTCCACAGGTTAAGAGTTCAGTCCAACAAGACTGCCCCCGACCCAACTTCAGCTGCCACTTCAGACCCAGGCTGCTCCCTGAGCTTCTGACCAGCCTGCTACAGATTGGTGGTTCCCATGATCCCCTCCTTGGACTTCAGATAACAATTGCAAGCCTAGGGTGTTGCCCATACTTCTGACCAACTGGCTATAAATCAGAGATTCCCGTGACCCCCTCCTTGGGTGGATTAATTTGCCAGAGCAGCTCACAGAGCTCAGAGAAACATTTTACTTACTGGATCATGGGTTTATTATAAAAGGATATAACTCAGAAACAGCCAGATGGAAGAGATGCATAGGACAAGGCCTGGGGAAAGTGTGTGAAGCTTCCATGCCCTCTTCAGGCGTGCCACTCCCAGCTGCTCCACATGTTCACCAGCCCACAAGCTCTCTGAGCCCTGTCCTTTTGGGTTTTTATGGAGGCTTCATTATATAGGCATGATTGATGAAATCATTGGCCATTGGCAATTGTTCAACCTTCAGCCCCTCTTGGCTCCCTTGAGGTCAGGGAGTGGGAATGAAAGTTCCAACATTCTAATCACAGGTTGGTTCTCCCGGCAACCAAACCCCATCTTTAGGTGCTTTCCAAGAGTCACCTCATTAACATAACAAAAGATAGATTTATGCTCTCATCACTTAGAAGATGCCAAGGGTTTAGGAGTTCTGTGCCAGCAACTGGATGAAGAGCAAATATATATTTCTTATTATAAAATCACAACGTCACAGTTGCCTTTACCAGAAAAGAGGAAATGGATTTTAGACAGCCAACATACCGCTACATTGGGGAACATCCATGAAGGAGAACTAAGTTGGATTTTGAAGTGTTGCATTGCATTGTGGACCAGAAAAAGCTCTGTGCATAGGTGAGCGAGAGACCTTTCCACTCAGTGTAAAGAACATATAACCAGGTTAGAGGTATGAGAATTACTCCCAGAAGTTTTGGTTGTGTGGGTATGTCAGTGGGGCTGGTGGAAAAGCTGGGGTTCATTTTTGCATCAAAGTCCAGAGATCTTCAGAGAAGGGAGCAGGCTGTGGCTAGAATTTGGACTGATTGCCAGTCCCCAGGACAAAGGCCCTTCCTTTTTAGGGTTCAACTTCTGAGGCTGAGTGCCATCTAGTAGAGGGACATCTCTTGAGAGGAGAAAAGAAAAGCCTGTGCATAAGCTTGGTTTCAGAGAACCCTTTGGGGTCACAGGAAGGGACAATTTTGAGAACAGTATAGTGCAGTCATGCTCAACTGTCTCCTGGCTCAGCCCTTTGGTGAATGCATACTGGATTCTTAAGGAGAAGGAGCCTGAAGGAAAAAATGAATTGAACAGGAGAGATGTACTTCCATATTTGGCATTCTTAACTTGGGATCTGTGATTCCAGATTTTTTTTTTTTTTTTTTTTGGTGAGGAAGATTGGCCCTGGGCTAACATCCATTACCAATCTTCCTCTTTTTTCACTTGAGGAAGATTAGCTCTGAGCTAACATCTGTGCCAATCCTCCTCTACTTTTATATGGGAGGACTCCACAGCATGGCTGATGAGTCAAGTAGGGTTGTGTCCCAGATCTGAACCCATGAACCTGGGTGGCCGGAATGGAGCATGTGGAATTTTAACCACTTGGCCATGGGGCTGGACCCCAGGTTTTTTTAAAATAATGACTTTATTGAGATATAATTCAATACAATACAATTCACCCATTTTAAGCATACAATAGTTCAAAAATCTACTCTATTCACAGAGTTGTGCAACCATCACCACAATCAATTTTAGAACATTTTCATCCACCCCAAAAACCTGTACCCATTAGCAGTCACTCCCCTTTTCCTTCCCACTCTGTGCCCCCAGCCCTAAGCAGCCACTAGTCTTTCTGTTTCTGTAGATTTGCCTATTCTGGACATTTCATATAATGGAATCATACGTTATGTAGTCTTTTGCGTCTGGCTTCTCTCCCTTAGTGTAATGTTCTGAAGGTTCATCTATATTGCAGCATGCGTCAGTACTTTGTTCCTTTTTATGGCCAAATAATATCCCATTGTATGATTATGCCACATTTTATTTATCCATTTGTCGGTTGATGGACTTCTGAGTTGTTTCTACTTTGGGGCTATTATGAATAATGCTACTATTGTGATTGCAGATTTTAAACCTCCTGGAATTTTGCGGTGTCCTTTTCCCAGTGCAGTTAGTTTACAGCATTCTGGCCTCTGTTCAGTTCTGCAGGAGCCCCAAGTCCTTACCAAGATCAGGGCTTTTACACATGCCCAGGATGCTCGGCAGCTGGCTGACTTCTACTCATCCTTCAGATCGTGGCTCAAAAGTAACCTTCCTGAGAGGTTACCAAGCACAGACCCCCCCCCCCCGTCCCCCCCCCCCCCAATCTGGGTGACACCCTCCTCCTCATAGCACCCAGTACTTTCCCTTCCTATCACAACTTATTAGTGTGTTTAGTTCTCTCTTATTAGTATGGAAGTTTGGTCAGGACAATGACCTGTCCTGTTTCCTGGGACACACATAGT